CCAGTAAAGGAACACTTGTTCCTTCACTGGTTTTTCATCGTTTGGTGATCCAGTGAATAAACACCCCCTTATCTCAGTACTTTATTATGCTATGATGCTTAAAAAAAAAAAACATGTAACTTCAATAATTATATTTTGAATTCTCTTTTTCACAGTGAGGAAAATGAAACTATTACATGCAATTAATTCCACTTCAAACATATAAATACAAACACCACCTTATAATTTTTTCAAAGAAACAAGGTGTTGCAGAGATAATAACAACTTCAAAATTTTTTCCAGAGAAGTCTATTTGACCAGGTAATCCAAAACATTGCTAGATGACTTCCTATTGTTTGGCAGTAAGCTATTGTTACCAATCAATCTAAAGAAAAACTTTCAAATTCTTATTCTTAATCAATATATATGAAATGTTCTTTCACTGGGTAGTGTTCCTTCACTGGTTGGTTTACCATACACACCTTCTGTTTTTTATAAATATTTTCAACTAAAGACTACTGTTATCTGATTTACTTATTAAATATTTCTACTGTGTGAGTGCTAACATAAGCTGTAGTTTGACTATTAAATTTTATAATGGGTAGTCTCTTATTAAAATATGCCAAGATTATATGATGATTAGAATAAAGATATTTAAATACAAACAACAAATCTTCTGTTGGTGATGATTGAAAAAAAAACTGTTGATTTCATTATTTCTACTGTTTAGGCTCTTAATATTTGCATTTGTTTAATTTATCTAACAATTAAATAAAGAAAATCGAATTATCAACTTAATGTAACTAAACATACGCCAGACAAACATTACTTTGCTAAAAAATTTAAATTATAAATAAGGATTAAAGATCTTCTGTTTTGTTTATAATTACAACTGAAGACTACTGTTATCTCATTTACTTATTAAATATTTCAATTGTGTAAACTGCTTATATAAGCAGTAGTTTGATTATTATATTTTGTATTGTAGTCTCTTATGAAATCATGCTAAGATTTTATGATCATTAGAATATTAGGCTATATCTGCCAATTATTCCAAATGGAAATTACATTATGCTTATCATTATCATTTTGTGTGATGTTAAACTTTTAGGCTAATTTTTGCAATATATTACTAAAATAAAATTAAATATAGTTAAATACATTTAAACTTTGATTTCAACCCTTTTTCTATACATAAGTTTGTGTTCAAATTGAAGGATATAAAATTTTATTCTATATTCTCTTTAATCTAATAAATTTTTTAAATTTGTATAAAAATTTATGTGTCAAGCCCAGGTTCTCTACTGATCAACATTGCAGGAAACTATTTTTGTGCAGTAAAACAATCTAATTGTATCTCAAACCTATCACTAAGTATCTGTAATTAGTTTTCTTAAATTTTACATGTTTTATTCAGTGAAATATTTTCTTTTTTAAAGGTTGATTCAATAAATGATAAAACAGATCACAAAGCAGTATGTGGAGCTATGAAAGTTTTGGGATTTCATCAACAACAGTCTGAAACTCTTTGGCGAATTTTAGCAGCAATTTTGCAACTTGTAGGTTAAATTATATATATGAATATATAATTTATCTATATGTTTTTTTTTTAAATTTATGTTTCTAGTAAATTAATGGTGAAACTTATTGATTTTTAATCACAGATTTAATTTGTAATTTTACTTCAAATTTTAGTCCAGTTTGTTGAGGTTGATCTTGCTTAAGTTCATTTTTGTTAAACTTCTGAGTTTTTTAAAACATTGTATTTAGCAGTTTTTGAAGTTATTTATTGTTAAATTGAATGATCTCCTTGTAAATGAATTTTAAAATCAATATCTTTTTGCAAATGTAGGCGTAAAAAAAGCCCCATACAAATATATAGTTAGTATTTATTTATTTATTTTGAGGATTTTAATGCAATTATTGGAATTATTGCACTTTTATAATGCAGGATATGTCTGAATGTGTTATAATACTTATAAAATCACTGTTATTATATCAAACTACCATACAAAATCATTCAAGATTGATTTGCTCTTTTTTTATTATCAGAATTATTTCTCTCATTATTTTAAATATTAGTTCCATTGGCGCTGAATAGTAAATGCAATCTTTTAATAAAATTCAATAAAAAAAAACTTCTATTTCTATTCCTATTATTTTTAATATTTACTCTATTATTTATCTCAGAATTTCATTTAATACTTTGAAATCCTTTAAAAGGAATTTCTACTTCTTTTAAGTAATTTGTTCATTTATAAATTTTTGTACTGAAAATTAAAATTAAATTATTGTTGAATAGGGAAACATTGAATTTTTAAGCAAAGATGAAGTTACGTCTGTACAGGACAGAGATTTGCTTTTATCTGTTTCTCAGTGCCTTGGCGTATCAGGCGAAAGCTTGGAGAAAGCTCTTTGTCATAGGGTTATTGCTGCTCGAGGAGAGGTTATGGAAAAAGTTCACACTGTCCCTGAAGCTGTTTATGGAAGAGACGCCTTTGCAAAAGTTAGTAGAATTTACCTTTTAAAAATTAATTCTCATAACAAATTTTTTTATCTGATTGGTTTTGTTAATAAATTTTATTGGTATAAGTAAATTTTAACTTGTGTTCAGTTATTTGAAAAGTGTAATGCTTTATAATAAGTCTAAACTACAGTTATATTTTTCAATATTTGTTTTTAAAATAAATTAATATTTTTTTTAGAAATTTTTTTTATGTCTTTCAAAAATTATTTTTGCGACTAAAATTCTCTGACTAAAGTTAACTTATTTCAGTTCTGTGCTAAAACTTAAAATCTTTGCAGTTTCATATACTTCTATTCCTTCAATATATTCATCATAAATCTAAACATTTTAAGTGTTCATTTGTGTAATATTTGAAGAACAATGTTCATCATTCTAGGTAATAGCAGGTTATGTTATGATGAACTTTTTTTAAAAAATTGTACTGCAAAGAATTTAAATTATGAAGAATTATTTTTAAGGCTCTTTTTTGCGATTTAACCCATGTTGTTGTACAGTTAATTTTTACGTTTCTTAATTTATGAATTTAAATCTTAAAAATAATATATTATTTTATGATTTATAAATAGATAGTAGTAATATTCTAGTTGCATAGAATTATCAAACACCCATCATTCTCAACAACAACTTTTCTCTTAAAGCTGTTGTATTTGTGCTGAGTTAATGTACTTGAATTTCAGAAGTTTTGAATGTTTTTGCCTTTACTAATAGCAAACTATTTTCTTCTAAATAATTCTTATGGTAGTCTCTGAAAAATTCGTCTCACATTAGACTAATCATAAAGACTCAGTTCCCATTGGAACACCAATGTGAAACATCACTGGTTATGATTCATGAGGGATCAGTTTGCATATAATTCAAGAGTGTGCAGCATTGATCCTTAAACTGTTCTATTCAGTGTTAAACTGTTCTATTATAAAGTGCTAGACTTCATGCACAGGTTTTCGGGTTAGCATAGCAGGGGAGCTATCCCCTTAGCATTGGATCAGATTTGTGATGGCATGTCGTCTTCCTATCATCCTTAAGGACGTTCCCCAGACCGTCTCCTTGTACAGCTCTCGTGCAATGTAAATAAAGTACTAGTTCTAGTACTACTTTGGTGAAATTCTGAAAAATTTATTTATTTATTTTTTTTTTTTGTAAATGATATCATTTTTTTAAAAATTTATTACAGCACTTAGTTACTTGGATAGATTGCTAATTTTATACATGTTTTAAATGTTAGGTACCTTTCTTAATGCACCAAACTTCAGAATATTATAACTTCAAAAAGTGCATGTATTAAGTTGTAAAATTTTAAATTGTAGCTATTTTTAGCTTTTGAAATTTTAGCAAAATTTAATTTTTTCAGCAAGGAACATTTTTATTGAATAACCAACGAGTTATTTCAGTAAAATCGCACAAACCAAGCATAATGGTATGCCATTCATAGGTTAGTTTTGGAGTTTACTGCTGTTTCAAAATTTCTTTGTTAGAATATTTTGAAATATAAATTAATTCATTAAAATATTAATAAATCAGTCTGATATAGGGCCATTCAATACTAGTCATTAATTGAAGTCTGCATTTGTGTTTATATTTTTATGTGCTTCTAGTTTATTTCACTTATTATTATTTTTTTAAGGAAAAAACTTATATTTCTTTCATATTTTTAGGCCATCTATGAAAGATTGTTTTCGTTCATTGTGAGTCGCATTAATGAGGCTATTGAAGTTGATAACAATGGTCATGGCTTGAAGAAAAATAATACAGTTATGGGAGTTTTAGACATCTATGGATTTGAAATTTTTGAAAATAATAGGTAATTTGTTAAAGCATTTTTCAATTGACAAATTTGATAAATCACACAGAATAGCATCCGCTTACTAGAGCTATTTATTTGCATGACCCTACTTAAATTTGGTGGAATTAAAATTTTAAAAAAAACTTTATTTTTAGTTAATTGGTTGTGTGTTCTATATATTAATTCAGCTAAGGACATGTTAAGTTGTACTTTTAATTTATCTAGCATTAATATGTCCAAAAAAAAAACTTTTTTCTCATTCGTAAAGCTAGAAAACAATTTTTAACATATTAAGAATAACTGTTTCTGCAAGCACAGAATTGCATTATTATTTAACTATGAAGAACAGTAGTGAACGAAAAGGCTTTTGTGGTGCAGCAATGTTAGTATGTAGTTGGTTTTCTCTTTCTGTTTTTTTTTATTTATATATTTATTATTATTTTTTTTAAATAACGAATCAATTTCAAATTATATTGAAAATCGATCCATATTTTTCTACTCTTATATTAGTGATCATTATATTAAAAAATGTAACTTTTAAAAGATAATTTAATATTTTAATTCTTTTTGTCATGCATGATAAAATCATGCATGACATGCTTTTGTCATGCAATATTTAGGTGTCTATGGTTTTTCTCTCTTATTGCTTATATAAAGGTGTTATTTTTTAAGCAGTGAAACGAACTAAAATACAAAGATATTAAAGCAATAGCAAAGCATCAACATTAAGATGATTACATCTAGGTGACAGAAAAACCAAATATATTTAGATTTGTTTCAAGAATAAATGCGTAAATATAATAAGATAAATGAAAAAAAAATTCAAGCCCAGTTAGTAAGTACCATCAATTGTTTGTCTAAAAATATTTTTAAGTCTAAAAATATTATCAATGTCTTAAAATATTTTTAAGACTTTTTAGTTTTATATTAAATTGTATGTTTTTGTTTCTAGTTTTGAGCAATTTTGTATTAATTACTGCAATGAGAAATTGCAACAGCTGTTCATAGAGCTTGTGCTTAAGCAAGAGCAAGAGGAATACCGGAGAGAAGGAATCACATGGCAGAACGTAGACTATTTCAACAATTCAATCATTTGTGCCCTCATGGATGAGCAACACAAAGGAATATTTGCAATAGCTGATGAGGCTTGCCTCTCTGTGGGAAAAGTCACTGATGAAGTTAGTAGTTTTCATTGCTTGCCTGATAATGTTGACTAAAATCGATTGTAATAATAGTTCTTTCTACCACTTATGTGATTCTTCAGCTAATTCTCAAATTTCTGTGAATCTTAAAACCATTACTTCTTGGATTTTCGAGAATCAATATATATTTCAGAAAAATTTTATTGGAATGCAACTAATTTAAAATTCGCTATTTACGCGAAATTTCGTGGACGAGACATATATCCTGAACTGGAACTTTCTACCACTCATGTGATTCTTCAGCTAATACTCAAATTTCTGTGCTTTACTAGCACCACCTTTTTTTCTTTTTTCCCCTAAGTTCTCATTCACACTCGATAACGACTTTTTTTTAATGCAGATTTGTTAAAGAAGGATAAATATAGAGAACACGAGACAGGAAAAAAAATCCACAATAACTTTGTCAAAAAATAAAGAACACTAAAATAAAATGAACATTAAAATAACGAATACTAAGATAAACACTAAAGTGTAAAATTTGTAATCTGAATAGTTATTCCGAAATAACAAACATTTAAAACGTTGTTCGCAAGAAAAAACGGTATTTTTTTCGTAAATTTTTTTAACAAATATTTTAATGAGTAGTAATTTTGGTGCAAATTTCGATTTTTAACAGATTTGTTTAACCAATGTGATATATTTGTCCCCTTTTCATTTGCCTGCAATTAGATCAAACTAATTTTTCAAATGATATGACGTGGAAATCTCTAATCGCACATTTCAGTGATCACTTTTCCACACGTTCAATACTTTCGTAAAGCTGTGCTTCCATTCTTTTTTTTGCGGTTAATGCGATTGATTTGCTTGTGTTTTTAAAATTCCAATGCTATTACAACACACAGAATTGCGCATAGTAATAACTTTTTGATGCATTCGATGTGTGTGCATACCATCTTAAATCCATGTGGTATTTCAGTCATTTTATTGGCTATTATTGCTTGTGGTTTTTTTAAATCCTGAAGTTTTCCTATGCTATTATTAAGAAACGAGACATTTAAATAATTACTTTTGGACATGCTCAATTTGCGCTAAATCCATGCGGTATTTCGATTGTTTTCTTTTTTTGCAGTTATTGTTGTTTCTTTTCACATGATTTTTTTAAGATCTTGATTATGATATGGGAAATACAAATTGTGCACCAGAGTATTCAGTATTTGATGTGTCGAAATTCAATTTTCTCAATATTCTTTTATGTGTAGATTAGAAAAAGAAAATGTAAAATAAAACAATTTCTTTTGTCTCTTTAAATTTTATGTTACTTTTGTTCATAAAATTGAGGCTTTTATTTATATTCTATGTGCAAAAAGATAAAAAAACTAAAGTAAATTAAGGACTGAAAAAAAACTACACATTGAAAAATTTTCGATAATTTCTTCTTTCAGCAATCACATGTCTGTTTTAACATATTTTTTATTTTAACCTTTTGCATAGGGTATTTGATTTGGCATGGTGAAACCTGTAATTTTGGTCCACTTGTAGTATGACCTGTAAGCTAAAAGTTAATTCTGTAAAAAAATTTTGTTTTTAATTATTGCATTTTTTAATTTTACAGATGTTGCTTGAAGCAATGGATATCAAACTTGCCTCTCACAAACATTACAGTAGTAGAAAAGTAAGTTTTATATTGTTAGAACTGTTTTTTATTGTTAATCTAGCATTTTTAATTAATTCATTGGGTTTTTATCTAGTTTGAAAATAATTAACATTGTATCATAAAAATTTTAAATATATATATACTTCGTTTTCCTCCTCAACATGCTTTTTAGAACAATTTTAAAATGATTTTACTTTTTTCAAAGCCTTTAATAAGTAGCAAAGGGAATTGCTGAAGTATGGTTTCATTTGCTAAAAATGATTCATATTTACTGCTTAAAATTGAGCACTGTAAAGTATTATGTATGATCCCTAAGCAAAACAATAAAGTAAAAAGATTTTTTTTCTTCTTTACAGTAAATTTAAAGAATTTCAGACTGAATATAAATTATTGACTAATTTAAAAGGTATAGTATAAAAAAGGGTAGAAGGAATAGTTCTAATTCATATTCACCAAAAATTTATATATATTTTTTATTTACCATAATGTTAAAAATTTAAAATTCTAAATTATGGTCGCTCTTATTCCCATACAGTGGGCAAATGTACATGTTTCCCTTAAAAACATTTTGTAAAAGTTTAGTTTAAAAAAATTATCAAGTTATCCTATTTCTGTAGTATATTTCTGTATTCAATAATTATCTTGAAATTTGTGTTCAAATTCTAACTATAATACTCATTTCATTTTTCTTTAAATTTTTTTCCTTAAAAAAAAAACACAAATATTTCTTTTGAAATTAGTTCTTTAATTAATATTGATTATTGTATTTATTTATAATTACGGATTACTGTACTAGACTTCTATATAATGTATTTTTAGATTGTTCCAACCGATAAGACCTTAGAGCATGGTCGGGATTTTAGAATTCGACATTATGCTGGTGACGTGACTTATTCCATTGAAGGATTCATGGAGAAAAACACGGATTCGTTGTTTCAAGATTTTAAAAGGCTATTATATACTAGGTGAAATATTAATTGCTCTTGTTACAGTATTAAGCTGTAATGAGATTTTATTTTAAAAGTATGGTGTTTTTTTTAATTTTTGTTATACTTTTTTTATAATGCTAAGATATATATATGGCAGGGATTTGATCAATTCCTAATAAATAAGTTAAGGTTCACGCAGCTTTATCTCTTTCTTATTACCACTTCCCTTTACCTAATCGCTCCCCTCCGGTTAATCAAAATATTATTTTATGGAATGCTGCTATTCATAATAACAGCTGCTTATTATTTTTAATAATCGAATTAACCAAGGAAAGTGAATGTCACTGCTGAGTTTATTGTACACTGATGATCTTTTTAGGTTTATTGTCATTGCCTGGTATACCCTACACTAATGTTAAGGTTTAGTGTCTTTTCACGGTATACGCTCATGCATACTTTAACTGACTTACTTAGTTATTATTAATAATATTAGGCGTTAATCAATATTAATTTCATTAACATTTGAACAATATTTCATTTTTTTAACTTTTACAATTAAGGTATTTGAGCAAAAGTTTTTCTTTCGAGAAGTAACCCCATAGAGTTGTTATTTTAATGTGTTGAAGTAATTAATCATCCATCTTATGCCCTATTTACACAATGACTTGGAAAAAATAAGAAGCTCCGAAAGCCGTCTTCTGATGTCTCAAGCCTGAAAAAAAGTTTTGTCAAATTTACACCTTTCCTTAAATTAAGAACTCCACCTAGAACATTATCTATAAACATGTGATAAAAAGAGCCAGTCATTGCATGCCTGAGTTGCCTTCGTCCGGAAATCCTTACCTGAAAACTGGCTTGGAGAATCAGTGAAAAATCAGGCTTGTGACAGCATGTGCTTGATGTCAGGTGTCGTGTAAATGGGGAGTTAGGGATGATAAATTCTCCGTTTTTATAATCACCCTGCCAAATATTACTATTTTTCATTTTAGTGTTAATAGTTTTTCCATATATTGTTAAGAAACCTAATCTTTTTGGGAATTTTTCATTATAGTGCTGATCCAATGCTCTCACAGTTATTTCCAGATGGAGATAAAGATATTACTCAAGTAAGAACCCAAAAAAATAAAAAAAATAAACATATAGAGTTTTAATGATTGTATAATTTTTTTATTAATTTTAAAATTGCTTTTAAATTTAGGTTACCAAGCGGCCTTTAACTGCTGGAACATTGTTTAAAAATTCTATGATTGCTCTAGTAAAAAATTTAGGTAACAAGGTATGTTTAGTTGCTGATCATTATTTACTCAGTTGTAATGCATATTTTTTAAAATGTTAACCTTAGTTTTAAATTAAAAGTTTAAATCAAATTTAAATTTCAAAATTTAGTAATTAAAATTTAATTTTTTGATCATTTGTTAAAAATAATCAAATAAAATCCATACAACTTCAATAAGTTTATTTCATCTATACAGGGCATAGATAAAAATGTACTGTATCAATTTTGTTTTGACTAGTCCATTCAGTTTGCCTATACTACTGAGTTTATTATGTATGATGATGTTTTATTTTGTATTATAAAAAAAATACTAGGAATTTTAAAATTATCCATATAAAATACAGGTTGAAATGCTCATGTGCTGCCTGCAATAAATTTAAAATTTAATATAGTTTGGACACGGCTGTCTAACAATTGCATTATGGCAGTTTATATCTTGAAATTATCATTTTTATGCAAACACAAAAAATTTAAAATTTTACTTTTGTAGAGTTTTTTTGTCTTCTTTTTTTAACTAAAATATTCTTTTTCTTCCCTTTAAAGATTATTTGATAAATTAAATAAAGACATATACTAGATACAAGTGCAAAAAATGGATTGCTGGTTTGATACTTTAAATGAGTACAATCTTCACTTTATCTCCAAGTGATAGCTGCTACTAGCAGTACTAAAAAAGATGTCTTTTTTATTTTCTTATTTATGCTCTTTTATATTGTTACTTTATTTTTTACTTCCAGCACAAAGAGAATGGTATATATTTTTTATTATTTTTTTTTAACTCTACATTTTTTTGTAGAAATCTTTATAAACTGTATCGTTATAAACTTTTTATTGTAGAAATCTTTATAAACCGTACTTCAACCTTAAGTAAAACTAGACAAGATGTTAATTTAATTTGAAAAATACAAGATGCGTTTGAAAAATCCATTAAATGTTCGAACAAGCTATACAAATAAAATACCTATTCTGCCAAAGTAATCGCCATTAGATATAGCATACTTTTTATATCAATTGAATAATTGCTGGAAACTGTCAATAAATGTTTCTCATGGTAATATTCTAATCACCATAGTTGCATATTTTTGAACTTACAAAGTATCATTTTATAACATTTTCTGATGCTGTTATTTTTAATAGTTTTATGTGTTTATCTCAGAGAATTTACTAGCCATCATGCAGTCTTTAATTAACAGATATTAGCCTTTTAAATGCAGATATTTTTCAAGAGCAATTATTATCATTCTAAACCATTAATATATTGAAGTTTTTTATGTTTCAAGTTTGTTGCATTTATAAATATGTAAATTTTACGTATGTATATGGCCGTGGTAGCCCAGTGGTTACAGAATCGAACTCTGATCCAAAAGGGCTGAGGTTCAATTCTGAACTTTCACATGTGATGTACGTGCTCGTAAAATCTGTGAATTGAAGGTCCTTGGGTCAGTCGGTGAGCAGTACCATGGGTATGGGTACAGGGATCTAGAAGAAATTTTCTTCCCTTTCAGATCTATGTCTAAATTGAGCAAGTGGTGTCATGAATTGTGATGGCATGTTTTCGGATCATCCTCGGATATGTTTCCCAGACCGTCACCTATAGCCCATAGTGCAGTTCTAGTGCAAATGAAATACCTATCAATGTATAAAATCATTTTTTCTTTGTTATTACTTAGGAGCCCTACTATGTCCGTTGTATCAAACCCAATGATCAGAAATCTCCGTCCTGCTTTGATGATGAGATGGTGATGCATCAAGTGTCCTACTTGGGTCTACTGGAGAATGTCCGAGTAAGGAGAGCTGGATTTGCATATCGGCAAACATATAACCGCTTCTTACGAAGGTTAATATTCTTCTTATTTCAGAATATTTGATTATTACAGTTATTTATTACTAAAATTAAAATTTTCTCATACATAAGAGATTATTTAATTGACAATTGTTATTGAGTTAGAATTGGGCATTTTATAAAGCATTAGTGTTAAACAGTGTCATTTATTCATTAGTGATTTAAAACATGTATTATATTTACTTCAAAACTAAAATTGCTCTTGAGTTATTCAATTATTGTGTGTCTGACATATGCTAAAAATGTTTACTTTTTTAATGGTGAAAAGTGTGGTCTATAAGTGGCTTCATTTACTGAAAGACAATACTTACAGTTCCAACTTACTAGTCAAATTTGAAGATATTGTTCCTATATTTTGACTTTAAAATAGTAAATGTGCTTCTGCACAACTTCAAAGGTCATCAGCTTCTGTACAATGCACAAAAAAAGACAACTTCCTTTACTAAGACTTGATATTAATAGTTCAAAAGCCTTACCTTAAATATGTTAATTAGTGCTGATAATATTTTAAGTTACAAAATCAGACACAAAAAAATTTGCTTTCTCTGAATAAATTTACTTTTTTTTTTTTTTTTATTTTNTTTTTTTTTTTTTTTTTTTTTACGAATTTGGATTCTTTATCCTCAAAATAACCTCTAATGTTTCCCAGAGAATAGTTGAAAGTTTAAACTTCTTTATAATAATGTTATGTTCACTTTTTGCACATTTCTCTACATCTCAAGGACTTAAGTGTATCTAAAAATATTTGCACACAATTATAAAACTTGTTTATGCAAAAAAAATTTTGAAATAAATTTAATAAATATATAAAATTTCTATGTTGAAATGATTTTGAATTGTTATTCATGACTTTTTAAACTTATTTAATAATAACCAAAAACATTTTACTTATACAAACTTTTAAATAATTTTAAAAAATGTAATTTTAAATAGCAAATCTTTAACTCTCACTTTAAACTCTTCTCCACCTCATGTTTAAATATCAGGGATGAGATTTTTCCGCTTTTTAGCGGATTTCCGCTTTTTTCACTTTTATCTCTTGAATTTCAGCTTTTTTATCAAAAATTCAGATTTTTCTAAAAATTTCACTTTTTTTTATAAATATTCCGCTTTTTCAGAAAATTCACCGATTTTCAAAGAGAAACAGAAAATTCAAACTACATAGCTACCAATCCTTTCTCATTTTTACTTATTTTAACTATTTTCTCCCCTTTTACTCGCAGCAGATAAGATTTTCCTAATTTTTTCCCCGCCCTCCAGATAGATACCATTTTTGTAGTTCAAACGACTCTGCTTCTGACAAGCCTTTTATAGGTCCCAAGCCTGGAAACTGCTAATATCTCGATTCTTATTCACACGATTTTAATATCTAACATAAAGCATAGCTTTTCATATTTGCGAGTTGCGATTTTTATTCACGCGATTTGAATATTGTACGTTGCGATTCTTATTTACGAGATTTAAAAATCCGATATTGTGATTCGTATTTACGCTTTTTTAAAAACCTATGTAGCGATTCGTATTCACGCAAGTTTAAAATTCAATGTCTTGATTTGTTCATGCGGTTTATAATATCAAACATCGATTTTCATATTTATACGTGATTTTAAAATAAAGCATTCGGATTCGCATTCAGGCATTCTAAAAATTATGCATCATAATTCTTATTTATGCAATCTAAAAATTACGCATCATGATTCGTATTTACGCGATCTAAAAATTATGAATCGGGATTTGTATTTACGCGTTTTAAAAATTCTATATCCCAGTTTGTATTTTCTCATTTTCAAAATCGTATATCTAGTTTCATATTCATGTGATTTCAAAATCCATAATTGTTATTCATATTCACACAATTTTAAGATCAACTCTCGCGATTCTTGTAAGAAGTAAATTTTTTTTAAAAATTAGTTACTATAAAAGTGACTGTTTTTCTAACGACGATTATTAGTATGTATATGTAAGTGTTACAACATCAGAGAAACTGGAAGGGAATATATTCAAAACTTACATTCTGTGCTAGCAAAGAAGAAAAAATAGGATTTGTCACAAAATGTTTGAAAATGGACTAACGACTAAATATAGCAAACATAAAAGATATAGGAAACAAAAGCAATAACTTAAAAAGGGATTCAATTTAATTTTTTTTTGTTGGAAAAAGAGTTAATAGTTAAAAGAGTTAACTCATCATCAAAATTTTATTTGTAATTGCTGTTATTTATGCTATAAAATGCAAAATTCTTATCAAATAAAAAACAATTATCTAAACAGTTGCTGATTGTCATGTAATTTTTCAAACTAAAATACCAATTTTTGTATGTTAAGGAGTTACTATATATTTCTACTTCACTGTTATTGATATGTTTCAAAGGGCTGTAGTTAGATTAGACTATAACATGAACATAATGATTTGGTTCATTGTTAAAGTTTTTTTTTCCCAATATAATTTAAAAAGTAATATTACTGATATATTTGCTATAAATCACATAACAGTATTTATTAAAAGAAATGAAATATTAATGTATATTCTCAGTAGTTTTAATTTGCTAAACCAGGTAGTTTTTCAAGTAATAATTGTCTCTTATGTGAACTGAGGAAAAATATAATTTCCAGCTTTATTTTTTCAATTGGTAATTTTTATTTTCACTAAATGTTAAGTATCAATGTAATCATTTATATAATAATAGATTAGTACACAATTGTATGTCAACACATTATTTATTACCTTAAACTGTCTGGAATTTATTATTAAAGGGTTGCGCTTGCGTAAAATTTGCTATTGTGGAAATTCAGCTTTTTTGCCTTTCGGCTAATCTCATCCCTGAAATATGTACTGTTAAAACGTTTTTTATTTTGTGAAGGTAGCACACAATATTTAAGTTGTGTGTTTTATATTTAGGTAGTAATAAAGTTTAAATTTGATGTAAGGGTAATTGATAATAATTTTAATTGACAACCTTTCTTTTAGATATAAAATGATCTCGAAATATACTTGGCCCAATTTTCGAGGAGGATCAGAGAAAGAAGGTTGCCGGGTGCTTATTGATGAACAAGGATTTTCAGATGACGTTCGATATGGAAAAACTAAAATTTTCATCCAGTCACCACAAACCATCTCTCAGTTGGAATATTCCAGATTAGAGTTGATTCCTGGAATTGTAGTTTTTCTACAGAAGGTAAGAAATTGTATGACGTGTGGGGTTATGTTTCGTTTGTTTATTGGGAAGAATCACTATTTGGTTGTGATTCATTTACTGTGAAAGAGAAAAAACTCTGGGTGGAATATTAATTTAAAATTATGTGTAAAATCTGTAACATTCAATAAGTTTATAAATTAAAGATGAACCATGTTCATATAATTTTGTCTGAAATCTTAATTTTTTTCTTTGTTATTCAACTAAGAACTTTTTAATTGTGAAGATATATATCTCTCTCTCTATATATAACTGACATTGAACAGCCGAAATCAATGGAACACCTGGATCAAGTATTGAGAGAAATTTGCCTTCGTGGAGGATTTTTTTGATATAACTAACCCACATTTGCGTTACATGGAGAGGAAAACCTACCACAGTTAGCCTGGCTGCTAGAGGACTCTAACCCATGAACCATCCACCACTAAGGATATTTTAAGTCAGCACTGTGGTCGGTGCAAGCCGAATGCGGAATTCTTATTGGCCAGCCATCTCTGGGATTGGAACCTGGTTCACCTCATTGGATGGCAAACACTATATCCCCATAGCCATCATGGTTCATAATTGAGGATAGTAATAAATCCTTTAAATACTGTTTAAAAAATATTGTGTGTTACATATTTTTTTTTCTTCTTTTAGTTATGGAGAGGGGCAATAGCTAGATTGAGATACAGAAAAATGTTAGCAATGCTAGCCATTATTAAGTTTTACCGCTATCAGAAACTGCGGCAGTATATCAATCAACTATGTTTACTTTTCAGGTAAGACATGAAAATAAAGTTTATAGTAATTTTTATTAATTATATTCTGATCATAGCTTGTAACTATTGATAGGAATCGTACTTTAATAGCGACATTAATCAAAACTTCTTTTAATTAAAAGTGGTTTATTTTTGTGTTTAAAGGAATGCTAAATCATCAAGAGACTATGGGAAAAAAGTTGTATGGCCTCCCGCACCCACTGCTCATAGAAATATTGCATCCGATCTTCAAACAGTACATGAAAGGTAAGGTTTATTTGCTTCATAGCCCTCGTAAAAATTGTTTGTTTAGTTTCACTAAAAACAAAGTTTAAAATCACAAATAGTTTGATTTTTATTAAAACCTATCAGGTTTCAGTGTCACAGTTGTACACTTTCATCAGTAGGATAAATGGAAGGACTGGTAAAACAGAGATGATTTAGGAGAAGTAATGAAGATGGTGTAACAGAGATTATGATTAAAATAGAGATTTTGATGATTTAAGAGATAACTCCCAAAAATCCAGTTGACCTACACTTTTTGGAAAGTTTCTATTTCTTCTTGCTGTTATACCATATTTATCAAATATTTTGAAATCATTAACTTTGTTATTTTAATTTTTTTCCCTTTTAATTGAATATTTATTTTAGTATGATGTAAATATTTTCTGATTAAATTGTCTCTGTTTCACGATCCTTGCCATTTATCCTACTGATGAAGGTGTACTCTTGTGACACTGCAATGCATATAGATTTTTAAAAAATTTTTACCTTACCATTTATTATACTGATGAAGGTGCACCATTGTGACACCTAAACGTATATAGGTTTTAATAAAAATTTGACCCTACCATTAATTCTACTGATGAAGGTGTACTACCATGACACTCAAACGTATAGAAGTTTTAATAAAAATTTTACCCTGCCATTTTTTCTACTAATGAAGGTGTACCATTTTGACCAAAATCTATATACCTATATTGATTTTGACACAAATTTTATCATTTGTGATTTTTAACATTGTTTTTAATAAACTTGAATATTATCTCAAAAAATTACTCTCGTAATTTTACTATTGTTTGTAGTCAATTCTTTGTTAAATGTAGCTCTCATAGAAATAAGTTCTAACATTTAGAAGCATAGCATGAGAGTTGAAAACTACAAACAGGCTACTTATTTAAAAAAATAAGGATATTTATTTCATAATGATGAAAGAATGATTATGATATTGAGGAGAACTAAAGATAATGATACTCATGACAACTGAAAGCTGTTAAATTGAAATTATTAGAACTTCATAAGTTTATTCCAATTGTTAAAATAAAATAGTACTAATTTCACCTATTTATCGGCTTATAAAATAGAATGGTGCAGACTTTATGTCTGGCAGTATTAAACTAGTTGATGTGTTCTATTGAAATATGTTGCCCTCATTTGATAAAGTTAAAAAGATTTGCAATTAAAAAACAAGAAAAAAATAGACTTAGTTAAAATCGCTATAGATATGGTTAGTGAAATGAATGTTCAAATTTCACTCACTTTTATGGTTAATGCATAAATCTTTTTACCTTAACCAAATATCATTCCCTAAATATTGTCTGCTCAAAACTTTTCTTTCGTTGCTTTTTCTCCTGTCATGTCTTAGTGGTACTGAACCCGCTTCAATCTAATGTTTCCATCGGTTTCAAAGTGGAGAATGTCCATGCTTTAAACCCAAGCCCAGCTTGTAAGTTGAACAGTTAATTAGCTCATTAGTGTAACTATGGCATGTTATTATTAGTGTATAAAATTGAATAATATAAAAAAAGAAAGATAATATTTAGACATACATAATCAAATAAAAGGAATTCTGATTCTCAGAATAAATATTTATAAATACTATTTCATATTATGATTATTTGTGTATTGTAAGTAAAATAAATAAAAAAAACTATTTTATCCAACTTTAACTTATTATTTGGCATAGTATGCCCACGTTTGGACTTAGTGCCACTAAACCTTACATTCAATTAATCACCTCATTTTTTAGTGTACTAATAAAAGTTTAAAATCTATTTAGATGGCGTGCCTATATGATTCTAAGGAAGATACCTCGTGAACAATGGCCTGAAATGCATTTAAAAGTAATGGCTGCGGAAGTGTTGAAAAGCCGACGTCAAGATTGGGGTTATCATAGGAAGTGGGAAGGAAATTATTTAGCATCTGTAAGTGAAAAATTTTTACCATATAAATTTATAATGACTAATGCATAGCATCCAACTCTACCGGATTGATCAGTAGACTACAGGATTTTACCATTTTCTCTTGTTCTACTGGTATAATAAAAATTCTGTAAATTTTAGAAAATTCCCTATAATTGAGTAAGTATTTTCAAAAAAATCTCTATTGGAATAGAATTATTACACAATTTATTGCCTGCTTGAATATTTTAATAAATATTATTAGTACATAATGAGGGAAGCCTCACTTGAAGTAATCAGTTTAAAATTTTTTGTTTTTCTAAAAATTTCAGTTTATTTTTATTCAGAATCCCCTTTTTAAATTATAAAATCTTTAAATTATTACTAATGATTTGCTTGTTTGTTACTATTTAAAATGAAAAGTTAATAAAAAGTTTTTGCAGACCATTTATAGTTAGTAGTGTAACAAAATTTTTGTATTTTGATGACAGTAAAAATCTCTAAAATTCCCTGTATAAAAAATATTTCAAATATTATGTAACAGCTATCAAGAAATTTATATTATTTGGTAAAACTTATTATTTAAAACATATTATAAAAACATATATATATAAAAAATATTTGACAAAACATATATTATTTGGTAACAGCTATGCAAATGATTTGATTTCAAAATTTATTTAGAGCATTCATTTAGAGAATTCATTTAATAATTTTATTTTTAAAAGAGCAAACTAAATTTAATTATATTCTGTACTAAATTTTATAAAATCTTGCAAGTAATTTCATCGAGTATGTAAAATATTTTATATTTTAGTTACTGTGGTATATAAGTAATGATTGTAATATTAAAAATAATTAATCATGTTTTCATTGATTAAAAACTATTCTGAAATGAAAGTAAAATACCATAAAAGAAATTATAGAAACCTTCAGTAAAGTCTTTAAATTTTAAACACAATTGCTGTTGGTTGCAGAGGAAAACCAAGCTTTAAAATTTTATTAAACGGTATAAATAAAAAGATATGTGAATTCTTAAGTTTTTAGAAATCAAAGAGACATTTTCTCAGATTTTGGAATTATAAAATATTGAAAGAAGCATGAATATGATATGCATCAAATCTTCAGGAAAAGTTCCAATTATTTTATTTATCGTGTGTATGTTACCATGAATGATTGAAATCAAGAGAATGTCGACTTTCACCCGTGAACGTCTACAATCACATCATCGCTTTGATGAGCATCCAAAATATTTGTTATATCCGATTTGGTATTCATTTATTCTTTGATATTATTATATTTATTTGATATTTTAATATCTGCTGAGGATAGATTAGGAGAAACATCAGTGTTTGGAGTAGCAGGCAAATTTTTACCAGGCAGTGGCACTGAACCTTAAAAAAACATCAGTGTAGTATATGCCGGGCAGTGGCACTGAACCTTAAAAAATATCAGTGTAGGGTATACCGGGCAGTGGCACTTATTTAAAACTAGTAAATATTTCGGACATTTACCAAAGCGACTATGTGATTGTCAACATTCACCGGTAGAAGTCAGCAACTGCCAATTTTGGTCATTCACAGTAACATGTATTTGATATGGTTTAATACTAGTTCACAGTTAATTATTATAGAAGTTTAACTTTTTTGTCACCCTCTAAAAAATGAATTACTAATTGTTTATTATATTTACCTATAAAGTTAAAGAAAATTTTTCGTAGAAACAAATATAGTACACAGTTTCTTCTCAGCAGTGGGTTGCAACTTGCATTGTGTTGCTATATCATTTTAAATTAGTAAAATGATTCCTCTTATTCAGTTGTTCAAAAATTAATTAAGAATTTATAAAATGTAATTACCTGGAAATATTAGTGCTCTTTTTTCTCATTCCTTGTGTATTATTGTTATTATACTTGACTACAAAATCTTTTTCATTGTATATGATAATATTATTATTAATTGAATAAAATTGGATAAGTAATTTATTAATTTCTATTTCAGATTTCTGAAAACGACAATACCACTTCGTTTGTGCAATCCATTGGGAATTTGAGAAACAAAGATCATTTTCAAAAAGTTCTATTTTCCAGTTATATCAAGAAAGTACGATTGTGCATTTTAAAATTTTCTTATTATCACTGTTTGTATATATATTTTAGAGAATATTTGCATTTTTTTACATTAAAAAGAGTATTGTAAAGGAATAATGGTCAATAAATTATTGTCCGTCTGCTTTTTTTTAAAATATATATATAATAATTATTAATTGATATGCTTGATCAAAAAAAAAAAAGCATTCAAATTAAGGAAAGTAATGATAATTTATGTTCTCTCTTCAGTTATATATACACAGGTATTAAAGAAAAAAACCAGTTTTTTATGTATAAGTATATTTGTGTTCAATAAAAAGAAAAAAAGATAAATATTGTATATACTTATTAATATCTTATTTGAAACATTTTAGTATTGGTTAATGTTTTGTAGATTTAAATACTTTTCTTGATTTAAATGAATTTCAATTTAAAACTAAAAAATATATTACAACATAACTTAATATAGATATTCTTTTGCAATCAAAGTTACATTTGTGATTTTTTGTAACAATAAAAATATTTTTTTTCACTTTAAGGTGAACAAGCACAACAAATGTGCAGAAAGAGCTATAGTTGTGACGGATAAGTTTATATACAAACTTGATAGCAAAAAGTTCAAACCCTTACGATCTGCAATACCTATTACTGATGTAAGTATTTTAAAAAAGGTATTTCTGTAGTGCGCTACTTTGAAAAACTATTGATTTTGCTAATGATGTATAAATTAATAATATCTTAATTTTAAACTGAAACTAAAGTTCTAGATTAAATATAATAACTGTTAGCTATATTAATGTTAACACAGTTGAAATATGCTATTTTACTAGGACTAACTAATTTAACTAGCAAGATTTTAAATCTTTGTCATAAAGAATATGATAAAAATAGATTGAATACATTGTTTGCATATTTTTTCCCTTAACTCCGTTAATTTTTCTAAAAAACTAAAATTAACTTATATAAAGTTTTGACGAAAACTGACTCTCTATACATTTCTTGTCTTATGTCTACAATGGTTGAAAAACTTTTACAATAAATAATTTTATACAATAAATAAATAGGTTTGCGGGTCTTAATTTAAATAAAAACTACTCCTTTAGTTTGAATTTTATTTTGTTTATAATTTTTAAAGTTTAATTTTCTTTGTTATAGCAAAAAATTTAACTAAACGTTTTTTACAGATGAAATCAAAATAATACTTCTGTTTTCTCTTTCTTTTTGATGTTTATTAACTGCTCTTAAGGTATTTTTTGTAGCAAACTTATCCAAATTAGCTTTGCATGCACACAAAATAAAAGAAAAAGTTATTGAATAGTCCAACATTCACTATATTGAATAGTCCAAGTCACTGATATTATGTATGATTTATCACATATATTTAAAGACCTGCAACATGCTTTTTATTCTTTATGTTTTGACATAATTATAATACCAGTTGTAATTTATCTTTAACAGAAATAACAAAAAAATTAAACAATTTAAAAGCATGATTTTTTTCAAGTGAATTTGTTGATAAAATTCTAAGACATATAATTTTTTTTCTTAAACTTTTCTTTAGTTAACTGGCGTCAGTGTAACGCCTGGACCTGATCAGATGATTATTTTACATTTACGTGGCAATAATGATCTTGTAACAGCACTGACTTCTAAAAATGAAGATGAAAGAGTGGGAGAATTAGTTGGAATTATTGTTCATAGATGGCACTTGTAAGTAAAATCTTTTCTTTATTTAGCTTATGATATCTAAATATAAAGCAGTATTACTCTACAACTCATAGACTTGCAGTTAAAAACATGTTTATTTTTATACTTCCTTTATTTATGTTAAACAAATTATTGTAGCTTAAATAAAATTTTATTGAATATTTTATTATTGTAAAGATAAGTGATAAAATTTAACGTTTACAATCGTTGAACTTTCAGTTTACTCTTCATGCTCGATTTGAAACAAAAATACTTATGCGAAAAAATTTTTAGTTACTTAATTGCTCTAATATTTTTATGTGAAGTCTCGATTTCTTTTTGCATGTAAGAGATTTTACAATATTATTATATAACATTTATAGCTGTGTAATTAGTTTTTGCTTTTGAAAGTTGTCATTTAGGTTTAATTTTCGAAAATAAGTGTTATCATACAAGTTGTGTTTTTAATTATTAAATATAAATATATATATTAATTCTTTGAATATTTTAAGTTGTCAAATTTCAACAAAAACTTTTCTTTTCTTTGTGTATTAAAGGTGTCTTTTAAATTTTTATAGAATTTAAAAAAGTAAAATATGAAAAGAAATGATTTTATAAGTATTAAAATTTAAAGAATTCTCAAAGATTAAGATTTAACCTAATGACGGTTCTGCATGTAAAAAGTCGTAATTTTACATACAGTTTTCCCGCTTAGCGAAACCGGTTTTTACATGTTATGAGATAAGCAATCAATGTATTGGGAAAAAATATTGCCCCAATTTTGTCCATTTGCTAAGTCGCCAGGGGGTTAAAGAATGTGAGTTTAACTTATGTTAAACAACAAGAATGATATTTTAGCTATTGTATTTAGTATCATGAAGATGATATGAATATTAATAAACTAAATTTAAATTTATTTTAATTTCTAGTTTACAAGGTAAAGACTTAAGAGTGATTGTAAATCCACAGCTGCAATGCATGTTGGGTAATAAAAGCAGAACTTTAGCTGTTGAGTCCACAAATATAACTCCACATCCTGCCTTTAAGAAAGATGGCCAAAATCTTGTCTTGTTATGGCCTATTTGCAGTGCCTGATCTTTATGAGACACTTCTCTAGTTGTTGAAGAAATTTGTTGGTATTTATGAAAAAATCCTATATGTTTATTTTGTGTTGCCAGCTTGGGGATAGTATCTATTCCTAAAAACTGCAAAATATTAGTTTTATTTTACGTTAATGACGTCATTCAAAAATGATAGTTTTGTTTAACCAGACAATCGTTGTGTGGTCTCAGCATTTAAATGCAATTTCAAATCTTATACTTTTTAAAAGTGGATCCATACCAAATATATTGTGATATGAGATTTAGTTTTTACATGATCCTTTTATTTTACAGAGTGTTTTAAAAGTACACGGTAGGCTATTTAAACAAAGAGATAATTAAGGATAAAAAGTATTACTTACATGATTTTTAATCTGATTGAATTATACAAAAAGCTTTTGACATTTTTAATAATCATGACTAATGGTTGTGAACTTATTTATTTGATAAAGAAATGATGTACTAGATATTTTTTATTGATATTACAATTACCCTAGAAGTAATCCTCGAACAAAAACATGAAAAAAGCGATAAAAGTACACGGTAGGCTATTTAAACAAAGAGCTAATTAAGGATAAAAAGTATTACTTACATGAGTTTTAATCTGATTGAATTATACAAAAAGCTTTTGACATTTTTAATTATCATAACTTGTGAACTTATTAATTTGAACTTGGTTGTGAACTTATTAATTTGATAAAGAAATGATGTACTAGATATTTGTTATTGATATTACAATTACCCTAGAAGTAATCCTCGAACAAAAGCATGAAAAAAACGATTAAAGTACACGTTAGGCTATTTAAACAAAGAGCTAATTAAGGATAAAAAGTATTACTTACATGATTTTTAATCTGATTGAATTATACAAAAAGCTTTTGACATTTTTAATAATCATAACTAATGGTTGTGAACTTATTAATTTGATAAAGAAATGATGTACTAGATATTTGTTATTGATATTACAATTACCCTAGAAGTAATCCTCGAACAAACGCATGAAAAAAGCCAGTGAAACAAAAAATAAAGCCATTTAGAATCTTCAAAAAAACTTTCATTATAATATCCCTTTCATTTTTCCTAACAAAAAATAAAAAGAAAATTATAAGTGTACCGTTTCTCTAATGATTTGAATTACATTATTTGTTATGTAGATTAAAAATATCAATTTTCAATTATTAATCTGAAAGCTGATCAGTAAAATTTTAAGTACTTACTATTTGAATGAATATTGACAGTTTATAATTCAATGAAAAAAAAATATTTTAAAAATTTAGATCTGTATTATTAACTAAGTATCATGTTTCAATATGTGTTGTTGTTGGTATGGTTCCATTGAAAGCGAAAAGTGTGTTCCTTACGGGGACCAAGTGATAAGTACTTTTACTTAAAAGTGTATTATATTTTAAGACTGAAATTTTTTTTTTTTTTAAAGAAAAAGTTCCTGTATATCTGCACGTATAAGCTTACTTTACAAATTTTATTATTAATCAGAAGAATTAAAATAAAGATTTCAAATTATAAATTATCTAAAGGAAAATCACATTCATAATCAATCCATCAATAAGTATGGGACATAAATTAACTTCTGATTCTCACAACTACGATTACCCGTAATTCAGTTTTTATCGAAATTTTTATCTAATGATTTGAATATGTTTTAGTAAGATTTTTTCTTAGACATAGGTCACTGATTATTTTACTAATCGTCTTACAACATTGTCATGCGTGATTATATACAATATCAGAATCAAGATATATATGCATTCGTTATCTAATTCACAGTAGAATATATTTTTTTGACTGAAATCTGCTTTTATAAGTCTTTCATCTTTGACTGTAATTTGCAAACTGTTATGTATTTTTTTAATATTATTTGTGTATTTTTCATATATTCATTTGAAGAAATTAGTGTGATTTTATTGTATATTTTTATTTGAAATGTGAAGTTAACAATTGCCTATAAAAATATTTTTATAGATAAGTACTATGTAGCAAAAAGAAATTTAAAAAATGTAATGTTCCATGGAATAATGTTGTTTATCATTAGACCAAGTATTAATTTTCAAATTTTTGCAGTGATGAATAAATGAAACAAAATATATTCCAGGAATGATTTAGAATTAAAAACAAATTGTGATTTTAAAATGTAAATATCTTATCCGTTGATGTGGTGTATTATAAAATTGGTAGTATAGTAAATAAATATACAATTATCTGGCGTGATTGTGACAGAAACTGGTCGAAACAAAAATCAGCATCGCAATTTGTGAAGATATTTTATTTTTCAGCAAAAAGGAAAATAAAGCATATATCTTTCTAATGTTTTCTCAAGCTTTTAAGTTTTCTGTAATGAACTGCTAATTTTGAGCCTAAAATTTTTTTTAACCCCAAAGCAATCTAAATTATACAGATATTTGAATGGATATTACTTGGTCTCATGGTATATTGAGAGAATAACGTCTCACATTGTAGTATTTTTTTGAATGGTTATTGTTTTATGAACTTAGTCATGATTTTATTGCTTTGTTTAAAATTGAATTTTCATTGGTATTCATGAATTATCAATTATGTTCAAGATTTAAAAATTATTATAAGTCAATTAAAATTATGAGTAATAATTTTGTTATTCAAGTTAAGAAAATTTTATAATCATTAAGTTGCCATTCTAATTAAATTATTAATTATTATTATTATTTTGTAAAATTTTTGCACATTGACTAGTCATTTTCATTATGAGGTAGATACCTGTTTGTTAGTAAAATGTACTTAAATTGACAATGAATTTTTTATATTTGTTAAAAAGAATTAAATTTAAAGACTGATCTTTGAACTGTTTTATTTATTTTCTACACTTTTAATTCTCTTAATGCTGGTCTTTAATATTTGAGTATTACTGAACTTGATTTTAATGTATGAGGAAGAGAAATTTGTAAAAAATCATAGGTCTTTTAAAAAGGCAATATTTGTTTTATTTGTTTATTGTTAGTTATTTTCAGGGCTGTGGAGTTAACAAAAATATCAAAATATTCACATTAATTATCATTTATTATTAAATGGGATAACCGGCATAACTTTGGCAAGATCTTTGATAGATGAGAATAGTCATATCTTTGCCAAGAGTAAATACAGGTGGAAGGACTGTTGCTGTAAGGACTACATATTTTAACTTTTCAGGATAGATTTGCATAAATTTTAAACTAGGTGTCTTACTAGAGCAATCTTATTTTTCTCTTCAAAGGCTGTCTAGAAATTTTTCAATTTCATTCGCTCTTCTTTAGCCTCTTTAATATTATGCAAATCTTTCTCAAACTCTTAATTCAATCATTGAAAGAGGATGATAGAGACTCAATTGCTATGTCTGTAGTCTGATTGACCTGATTTGAATACACCAGTTGTTCAGAGAATAATTAAAAATGGCTGTTCTTCTTTGCCTTTTTAGTTAGTTTATCATCCAACAAAATTCAACCTAAACTAGAGTCAACATGTTTTTAGAGACTGAGACTACACAGTCCTGGTTATTTTTAAAATGTGTGATATAGAGTGCCTAAATAAGTTATTTTGCTTTTAAACAAATGTTAACTAATTTTAAAATTTTCTTTTTTGGAGATGGGTTATCGCCAACAGCTACCATAGTAATATAATATAGCTATTATGATACAAAATGTGTTACAAACAAGGTAATATATGCAAAGATTTATTTCATCAGTCTTTCTGGTTTGCTAAAATTGTAACTAAGGAATTGTTATCCATAATATTATTGTTAGGTAAATATCGTGATAATTAGGCCCCACAATTTCCACTAAAATGTTAAAAAATATTAATTTTTAAAATAATCAATACATCTAGCTTTTTTTTAAAAAAAATAAAACTGGAGCTAAATATATTTTTTCCAGTAATACATTAAAAAAATTATTAGGAAAGATTTTTAATTTAATTTGAAACTATTCAGACAGTAATAAAATTTAAAATTAGCCCAAATCTAATTACAGTTACAGAAAATATTCAACAAATATTTAAAAATATTATTTTTAAAGCAAAATTCTGTCATAGATCAAAATTATTTCATACAATAAATATTAGCCATCTCTAACATTATTATGCTTATTAAATTATTAAACAATTTCAAGGCATGGTAAGTGTTAATAGTTTCATTTCAAGTTACAATAAAAAAGTGGAATTGTGTAAAATAGTTCTTAAAAAAATAAGCCTACAATTATTGCCAAAAAAAGAAAATATAATATAGCATTTCTTTATTAATTGAATTCTAAGTAAAGTTATAAATCAGTTTCATTTTCGCCATATTATGTAGTCTTGATATATTGCTTGTAAATAATTTAATCATGACTGAATGTATTTATATGTGCCAGAAAGTTTAAAATAAAATCATTATATTCATTATAAGCCTTTTTGTATTATCTTGTGAAATTGTTTAAATAATTAACAGGTAATATTTAACAAACTAGTTTATAAACTTAAAATTTTATGCAGTATAATATACAGAATTGGCTTTATACAAACATACATATTAGTGAAAACATTAATGTCGAACAACAAAGTAAAGTTAGAACAAACTCAAATAACATCTAAGCTGATAAATCTACAATTACAAAAGAAGTGTGTCACCATTAAAACAATTATGATTCAACACTCATCAGCTATTAAATATGAAATTAGCTTTTGATACACTAATTATTATTATTTTTTTTGTTGTAGTTTTTGACGTTTTAGTTTTATGAACACTATGAAAACATTTAATTTTTACATTCTTTTTTTAACCTTTATGTGCATGCACAATGTGTCTTTCTCTGAAATTTTTTTACCATTTACTGGAATGATAATATAACCCTATATTATGCTATTAGGAGAACTGGTGTCATTTACATATGTATGTGTAACCCAGATACAAAATTTAACTGCACCCAGAAAAGAATGATAAAATATCAAAAGAGTACACTCAGTAAAGTATACTGAGTTTTTCTTATATTGATATAATGAGCTAGTGTTAACAAAAAAGCAAAGAGTTTACTTATCTTAAAGCTGATCAAATATCTGATACAATGACGCATTTAACTTTTTTTCTTCTTCTCTGTTTCTTAAATTTGCAATATACTGTTTTGTACCTGGTCTAATTAGTTAAATAATTACAGCTTTATCAGATCAGAAGTTATTTTGATGTCTTAGGACTTTATATAATTAATACCACATCATCACTGAAAAACAAGGTTCTGCTGAAATGCAACTATCACGATAATGGATTGCAGAGAGAGGCTCAAAAACGTGATAAATGTATTTAAGTGAAAAGAATCAATTAGTGAAAAGGAGACCTTACAAACTTATATACAGTAGAGAACCGATTATCCGGAACGATCGGGACTATCGCTATTCCGGATAACTGATTTTTCCGGTTTTCTGAATCGCTACAAAAAGACGTTTTTTAAGTGTTAAACCCTACTAAAAAAAAAAAAAATATTTGGAAGTAATCTTAAAAATAAGAAAAAACGATGAGGTAATACACTAATGATTATTTCTGAAATGATGGTAAGGTAAACATCTTTCAAAAAAGAAAGTAAAATCTTATGAGGAAAAAAATTTTTTTTTTAAAAATTGCGGGAAAATTTATCGAATTTCGTTCCGGTTTTTTGGTTTTCTGATTTCCGGATAACGGGTTCTGTACTGTACTTACATTACAAACTAATGAAATATTTATTTACACTGTTGATTTTTTGAATATATATTTTAATCTAAACATTTTTTAAAATAGGAGTCGGAATTTATTGTGTTTCAAAACATGTTTATAAATAAAGCAAAATAATATAATTAACTAACTGAAGTTAAAAATTAATATCTTATAAATTGTAATGCAAGGAAGCAGTAGTATGGCAAAAATAAACATTTATTAAAAAGTAGACTCCTATGAGTTGTGAATTTTGACAAGTTACACATGTATAATCAAAAAAGTAAAATAATTTTTATATTTGAGCATAAGTAACAAGTACAAAAGAAGTCCGATTTATCGTCACTTGAGGATATCGCTTTTAACGTCTTTTTATTTCTGATATCATTTAATGTTTAAAAAACCATGGTATTTAAGGTGTCCTTTAATACTATTCCCATGAATCTTTTTATTTGACCATTGTTGTCATGTCCCCCTGAGTTTTGGTGTATTAAATATTAATAAAAAAATGTAAAATTGGAATTTACCCAATCCATTGTTATTGTTGTAAGCCATTAAGGCAAGAGGTGTGATCTATAGCCAAGAATTAGACTTCTGCCGCACCAATTTATATGGCAGAACCATTCATTCATCCACAGGTCGTAATTTTGACCTGAACTAGAGATCGATCAAACTCCAATTCAGTACTCCCAGAGATATTTTATTTCATAACCGTCGTTGAACATCTGACCCAATTTTGGGGTTTAAGAGCACTAATGTTCAACTCCGTAACCTTGTAATTTTGAAACCAATCCAGAAGATAAAGAAACTCCTGGATCAAGTATTGGGAGAAAATTGCCTTTGTGAAGGACTTTTTGATGGAACTAACCCGCATTTGCGTTACGTGGAGAGGAAGACCACAAGAATCTCCCGCTGTTAGCCTGATATCAAAGGGACTCTAACCTATGATCCGTCTACCAGCACTGTGGTCGGTGCAAGCCGGATGTGGATTCGTATCGACCAGCCATCGCTGCGATTCGAACCCGGTTCACCTCATTGGAAGGCAAACGCTCTATCCCCTGATCTATCGCGGCTCACCCACTGAGGTATAATTTGTTATGGGAGATGGATGACTTTGAGACCTGTTAGATTTAACGTGCACTAGTCATTTACTACGGGGAGGGGGTCATATGCCCGCTGGATTTTAACTTCCTTTCTCACGAATGTGAGTTCAGCATTCTGCCAACCACGGCCATCCAATTTAATTATTGAGAATAAAAATACAAAACAATCATCTTATAAAATAAAAACACTTAATCATCTTATTTATCATATGCAAAATCAATTTTCACTACTCCTTTCTCGGCATGGGATTACAAGAAATAGTTTTAAAGCCCTCTGTACTCCAAGTTCGTTTTCCACTAGAATGTAGACCTACTAAAACTTTTATTGCTGTATAAAACAACACGTAATAAAAAAAAGGTAGACTAGTCGCCATTTTTTCTTCAAACCTAATGAGTCTGTGACCGATATAGACACGTCCTTTTCATTTAATAACCACTTTTTTTGTTGATAAAATTATATTTCTTTGGAAAAATTCTTTTAAGAAATAACCTATGGCTTATGAAAAGTTCATTCAATAATAAAAATAATATAAATATATGAAAAAAATTTAGTTAAACATACTGACTTTAAAAAACTTTGTTTGAAAATATTTGGGGAGGCAAAATACCTTTAAATGAAATATCTGAATTGCTAAAGAATTCTCCTTCCACCACATATTGATGGATTCTGAAGTGTCAAAATTTTGAAGGGAGACATTGAAAAAAAAATGTTTTGTTTTTCTGAGTTTCTTTCTGGATTGATGTATTTTTATCATTAAAAAATGTTCCAAAAAAAAAAGTTACTGGTTGTTAATTTAAGTCCTCGCTTTTTTTGTTGACTCACCACGTCGCGAGTGGTTTTTTTTTCAGGTTTACTAATAACTGTATTAAATATTGAAAGTAACTTAATTAAACTATTGAATTGATCGATTGAAAAAATTATTAACTCATTTTAAATATAATAGTTTACTTACCAGGGAGTATATTATAGTTATGATTTATTGCATATAAGCATGGTTGCCAAAAATTCTCAGAGCCTAATATTTCCACAAAACAATTTTTTTTTTTTTTAAAGATTGAAATCCCCCCCCCCCAATTTTTTTTCATTAAATAACTTTTTTAAACTATTTTTGGAAAGTAAAGTTAATATATCGATAAAAGTTTTTGATAAATAAGCAAATAAAAATATTCATTAGATTTTACACCATTCTTGAATAAACGAGCATATTTGTTAAAAATAATAGAAAAATATATTTAAATAATGATAAATTATTAAACTGAATTTAAGCTCCCACTTATTAACTTAAAGAATTGTAACTAATAAATACAGGAATAGACAGATATTTACTGTTTTTTTTAATAAAGAAATATTTTGGGAAGCTACACATTTTTTAAGAATAAAAAATTTTGTATACATTATATATAAATCATAATTAAAATTGTATATATTGAAAGTATTGTGTATGATTTACTAACAAAAATAAAATGTCCCAAATGACAAAAAATGAACTTGTCCCAGGTTTTTGTCAGATTTTTAACATCAAAAACCCAACTCTGTCTTTCACCCAGTTGTTAAAAAATCACCCAACTATTAAAATCTTAAATTACATTTAAGTTTCAATTTTCGTACTTTAACTGGTCACGACTATCTTCAGGCTCACCTTCCCCGGATTGATGTTTCGGAAGCTTCTGACTGCCCTCTGTGCTCTTCAGGCGAAGTGATGAGTTTTGAAGATTTGACAAATATCTTTCAAAGGCTGTTAGAAGAGAAATGGCTCATAAGGCCAATCCCCTAACGTCAGGGGGGAGGGGACACTTAAGTTTCACATTGCATTTTAGTATTTAACAAAATGTAATCAAATTGTACATATTTAAATTTTTGTTTTCATGAGATTTATCATGTTCCTGATGCAGCCATGTCCTCTTATTTATGATGTTTTCGTCCAGTCTCACGAAGGTCGTTAAATCGAGGCTCCACTATATATTCATTTCATTTTGTAACAAGTTTCTAATATTTTGAGGATTTGATGTAGGTTTCTTTCTGTGAAATAAGTTTCCATAATATTAACACTTGAAAATTCTTCGATAATAAATGAAGAGAATCTGAAAACGCAGAATGAGGCTATTATTAGCAAATTTAAGTAAGCAAATAATTATTTCATAAATAGCTCATTTTTATAATAGTTTTCGATTAAGCATTCCCATCTCATCTCTACAGGGTAACAAAAAAATATAGGGATCAGTTTTGAATATTTTTATTACCAAAATTTATTACATAAATTCAGCAGTGCTTCTCAATACGTCGACCTCCGGCATAATAGATTTGTCTACAACGCTTCGGCCAATATTTTAAAGCCCACAAAATGATTTCCTGGGGGATTTTCTTCACCTCTTCTCTAATAGCTCTTTGAAGGCCTCTCAATGTGGAAATTCTTCGCTTATTCAGTTTGTTTTTCAGATGTCCCCATAGGAAATAGTCGCATGGTGCAGCATCAGGACTGTTTGGAATCCATTGTTCTGGTCTCAGGAATTGCACTTTCTAATCTGTTAGGAATTTCTGGGTGACCTTAGATGCATGCGATGGGGCAGAGTCCTGATGAGAAACAGCATCACCATTAGGGTAAAATCTGCAGTAATCATCCTTAAGAAAGGGCTTTAATATCTTCTGTATGTAATACTCAGAATTTATTTTCACCCCAGGTTTCACAAACCGAGGTTTGGTCACACCATGGGCGGAAATGCCCATCCAAACCATTACGCCTTTGTGATGAGGCACCGTGGTTGATGGTGTCAAGTCTCGCCTGTTCTACCCACGGCTAAGATATCGAACTTTAGATTTAGCATTGGTATCAGATAGATAGATCCAAGCTTCATCAGTTGTAATGAACTTTCGCCATCTGTCCTTACGGAGAAGCTTGTAGAGGGGCCATGAACGTTGCCTCCTAATTTGCACCGATCTCTCACTTAAATGATGACATTTAGGTTTTTTATGGCATTTTTTCTTCAACTTTTGTTTTAGTTAATAGCTTACAACTTGCTGACTCACGTTAAGAGCTATAGCCATGCTTGCCTGTGTTGGTGGACCCGGTTTTGATGTCATCTTATCAAGATTCGCAAATCTGATTTCTTCAATTTGCTTGGCCGTCCACTTCTTTTTGGTTTTGCATTATTTTGCATCAATCCGAGTTTTGAATTCTTGATGCGACTGATATGGCTGAGTGAAATCGCAATATCTTTCTTCTTAATATCGGTTTGTATAATCCTGTGGCTCCATTGAAGTTCTAAAAATGATTGTACTTGACCAATTAGCTTTTTGTCAAATTTCTTCAAAGGCATTTTTGTGATTTTATGAAATAGTATTGCAATTGAAAGTCTAACAACAGAGCTTTAGATCAGTATGCTATATGTGTAAAAAAGTTTTAAAACTTTAGTGGTAGATAACCACAAAAATGATCCCTATACTTTTTTGTTACCCTGTAACTGAGGGAAAGTATCAAACACCATTGGTTCGTTACCAGAGTTTATATAGTTTATTGGTAAGCTTATTGTTGACGAGTTGAAGGATTATAGCTTTTATATAAAATATTGTCCCTATCTTTTCAGATTTTGCAGTAAATACAGGGGTTGGACAAAATGATGGAAACACTTCTAGGCTAACTCATTTTTTTTATATTTCTCAAGAATTATTTTAAAACTTTAGAAGTTTATGAGTCATGCAATTTCTCATACATATCTATAAAGGTTTGAGGGGCCGTCAATAAATTTCTTACGAAAAAGAATGTTTTTGAACATCCTATGCTAAACAATATAGTGATACCCTTGTAGCTTTTACAAACACGTTTTGTAATAAGTGCACAAAATTTCGTAAACCAAGCTTACATATTCATGTAGATATGGACATTTTTGTAAAAAAAACTAATATTTTCACTTAGGTTTACTTACTATAACTGCAGTAATATTCAATAAAACTATGCAAAATTTTTAGAGTAATTTTTAATTAATAATAAAAATATAATTTTTAAATTTTCAAAAAAAAATTATTAAAAATTGCACAAGATATGAATATTTAAAGTAATCCTGTCTATTTATACTGTGCATACACAAAAAACATAAAAATACTTTTTTTCCGTTATTTTGTTCAGAATTGTAATTGGTAAATTCAGAAACAAGTCGATTTGAAAATGAAAAAAGTTTCTAGCAAATTTCTAAGTAACTTTTGTACTTTTTTATTGAAAGTTCTAAATGATCATTAAACTATTAACCTAAATACCATTTTGTTATATAAAACGAAATTTAATAACAAATGATAGTACCCTAAAATGATGGTTTGGACAAGACATGATAGCATCAGGATATAAAACATAATTTAATAGTTTGTGGTCCTATATAATGACTATCTCATTTTTAATAAATCTTGTTTAATATTATGAAATTAAGTTATTGAAAACGCCCTTACCATTCAAATCTTTCTTTCCAAATTAACATTAAAACTACTTAGAAAATAGCTAGAAACTTTACAATATATTCAAATCGAATTTTTTTAGAAGTTACTAAATATGATTGAAAACAAATTTATGAAAAAATTCCCATATTTTAATGAATATTTAAGACAGGTTTACAAAATTTTATGCAGTTATTGCATATAATAACCAACATAATGGACATGAGTTATAAGCTTGTTACTATATTGTCCAGACATCGCATAGGGTGTTCAAAAATATTTTTCTTTTTGTTCATAATTTATTGTCAATTCCTCAAAACTATAAAAGCTTTAATCTTATTCATATGCATGAGAAATCGCATGCCTAAATGCTTCTGAAGTTTAAAAATAATTCTCCAAGTACTTTTTGAGAAATATAAAAAAAAATTAGTTTGTATAGAAGTGTTTCCATTATTTTGTCCAACCCCTGTATATTGTATTTAGGTCTTTTTTTTTCCTTGCTAAATTTCAGAACTGGAACTAAATAAATATTTTAATCTTTTTTAACTCTCAAATTGTCAAGTTGTAAAATTCTTGTGCAGCAAAGTTGTACTAAAATTCTTGTGCAATGTACGTATTCATTGAAAAACATATGGAAAACCTGTCTTTTATGCAAGTAAGCACCACCTTAAAAGTTTACAAAGTCTGGTTCTAACTCACAAAGAGTTGATAATGACCTACCTTTTAGACAGTGGCATAGTTTTAATGTATGTTCGAGGAGGGTTATCGATTATCTCCTTATGATTATATATATAAATAGCATAATAAATAAATACAAAAAAACACAAAGTAAATTAAGAAAAACATTAAGTTTCATTTATTGCCCATAAGCTGCAAGTAAATATAACTCATAAAATAAGTTCAAAATGAAGATAAAACAAAGGAAAATTACAGACTAATGAAAAAAGGGGGGAAAAGAAAATTAATAATAAAAATAAATAAAACTGGAGAAAAAAAATCTGGAAAAAAAGGATAAATTCTGTTAAAAAATCCGTAAAAAAAAGATATAATCTTTTCACCAGCCCACACAATTATATCCGCAAAAAAGAGTTCTAATATTGTATCAATATAGCCAAAGCAAAATATATCAATACAATAGTGTGAGGATCATTCAAAAAATTTTTACAAAAATTACAACAAATAAAATAGAACACAATAAGTAAAAATAACACGTGAAAACAGAAAATAAAATATAAAGAAAAAACATAATCTATAAAGCAAGTAGCAAAATCAAATGAACTTACTCGAGCGGGCAATTTTTCAAGAATGATTTAAAATATTTTCGTAGCAAAATTGCAAAATATGAAAACAAAAGCGGAAATTGAGATAAAAGCGTAACTAGAGGAGTTTTGTTTTAAAGTGTGTTCTTACTGCATTACTGAAGTGCATTTGATTTGTTAGTGTGTGTATGTATATATATATATATATACACACACATTAATTTAAAAATGTTCAAAAAATAAAAAAAATTATTACTGAAATTTTTTTTTATATCTACATCCTACTAACCATACAATAGTTCATTAATCAAGCAATATTTAATTTTGGAGGTGGTTTTGTCCTCCTAAACTATGCCAGTGCTTGTAGAATACTAGTTGGGAACAAATAGTGCAAAACGTTATAAAAAAACACTTCACTGCACAGTTTTTAAAAAAAGACTCTCCCAGTAGAGAGGAGCTCACATTACCACAATTTAACACAAAATATTTGGAGAGATTTACTGCATTGTCATGAAAAAGATGACAAATTTATATTTTCCTCAAAGAGAATAAAGCGAACATTTTTATATGTTACGGTCATAATGAAAAGCTGTTTTATTATACTTACACTTTTGGTTGTTTTCCTTCAAAGATAACTTTACACATTTTTTCCTTACATGGCTTTCCACTAGAATCGACATCAACAGGAATAGTCTTATGTCTAACTATGAATTCCTGAAAATTGAACAACAACAAAAAAAAATGTTTTAGCACAATTATGACAGAAAACAAATTCAGATAACTTAAAAGTAAAATATATAACTTGAGCATAAATTATTTTGCTGAATTTTTTTACTCTAACAAATGCACAAAATTTGAAAATAAAATAAAGGGTTGATGAAGCAATCTTAAGGTGTTTTAAATATTATTCTGAACATTAAAGTTAGTATTTAAATAAGTTGATGAAGCATTTTCGTAGCACATTTCCAAAGAAGCACTTTGAAGGTTCAAAAACTGTTGTTTTTCTCAATCTGTTTTAGATTTTATTACTGTGTAAACTATATTTTAAGTAGTTCTAAAGCAAAAATAATAATAAACATAAATAGCTGCATCAAGCTTTATCAAAATACTATTTGTTACTGCTACTTATATATTATAGAGACGGTTACTTACTTGACTTAAAGTAATATTCAGTGATAATAAGACTCAAATGTAAGACTAAACACATATTTCCAACAAATTATGAAACAATTTTTTTTTCTTTTTTTTTTCTTGTCATCTCAAAAAATTGCATTTTCCTATCCATCAATTACAATTTAAGTGGATGGTAAAAAAAAAGGCCATTTCCTATTGATTACAGACACATGAATTGTTGTTACTATGCTCAGATTTGTTTCACTTAATAAATTTTTTTTTAATAATCCTACATGGAATATTACGTATACTAATATAGGACTGGATATCGACTCAGAAAAGTTCAGAAAATTGAAAATGTCTCGTGAAATGCTTTGCAGAAAAGGATCAAGAGAGCATAACACCATCAAATTTGCAAAAACAATACATTTTTTAAAAGTGTTGAACTTGTACTTAAGAATTAAATGACTATTGCCAGTCTTTTTTTTATTTAATTGAAAAAATCATTTCAATTGATTGACTTTAGCATAATTCCATTGCATTTAAACAAAAGAAGTTTGACATATTTTTTAATTTGCATTTAATTAATTCCAAAAGAATTGAATTATATGTTATTTTTTCAGAACAGAAAAAAACAAGTTTTCTTGAAGGTTTAGCAACTTTTATAGATTTGTCATTTGATTGAAATTAAAAGTGTTTAACATAATGAAATAAGAGAGAATATGTATATACTTTTCTTACAAAAACAAAAAATCTGCTTTTGTAAAATACATAAGGAAAAAATATTATAAAGTGATGCAAAAGTCTTTCATTCCAGGAACAAAAACAAAAGGCAAATAAAACTGTTTAAAAAATGTATATATACAGTCAATTCGCTATAAATCGAAGTACGATAACTCGAATATTACTATAACTTGATTTTTTTATGATGTCCCGGCCCTTTTATCTTCAATTTCATGTTAATTATTCTCGATTACTTGAATTTTACTCCCTTTAACTCGATTTTTTTTGGATCTTTTGAAGCAAGAAAAAAAACCTAGGAGCTGATATCTTGTCCCTTCCTTTGCAACACACACACAATGTCTTTCGCACTCTTCATGGAGAAGCTAAAGCTGTCCCTCTTGAAGTATGTGAACAGTGGTCAAATGAAACGTTACCAAATTTACTTCAAGGATACAGTTAAAATGATGTTTTCAATATTGATGAAATGGGTTTATTTTTTTAATGTCTTCTAAATAAGACTATGATGTTTAAGGATGAAAACTGCTCAGGGGGTAAAATGAGCAAGGAACGTTTGACTGTCCTAGTTGGAGGAAATGCGTCTGGAACAGAGAAATTGCCCTTACTTGCTATCGGAAAATATCGAAATCCCCGATGTTTCAAGAATGTAGAAACGTATCCTTTGGATTACAAGTCTAACAAAAAGTTTCGGATGACATCAGTATTATTTGAAGACTATGTAAGAAAATTGGATCGGAAATTATTCGCTAAAAAAAGAAAAGTGATACTCTTTATGGATAAATGCACAGCGCATAGTGATCTACCTAATTTGAAAGCAGTAAACTTGCAGTTTCTCCCGCCAAACACAACAGCAAAGTTGCAGCCGATGGACCAGGGTATCATAAAGTGCTTCAAACAGTCTTATCGTAAATGGCTTGTCAGAAAAATGATCTTAAATATTGTAAGCATTTAGAAGATTTGTAATTAATAAGAATTAATTAAATAATCCGACAATATTTTGAAAGTCCAAAACCGAAACTAACGGTAAGTCGAACTTCCGATATGTCGATGTTTTTCGTCAGTCCTACCAGATTCGAGTTATCGCGAATTCACTGTATATATATTAAAAGTTTTCCTTTACACAGTCATAGTGAGTCCATTTATGTAAATACATTTTTTTATTAACAAATCTGCTATTAATCTTACTTTAATGTCATTTTTCAATCCTTCAAGAATAAGATATATCCATTTTTGGCAAAACAAAAGTATTCCACAAATATTTAGCTCGCAAGCCCATGATTGAAGAGTCTTTGAGTATTTCCGTCTTTGCCTCATATGGTCTATACTTATCACAGCAATATAATCTTCTAAAACAAAAAATTTTCATTTAATTTTATATCGAAAAAGTATTTAGCTTTAAAAGTTGTAGAAGAGGCTTGATTATTTGGTATGCTTGTTTTTTCTAAAATAACTTTTTTCTTATTTAACTTTCAACTCTAAAAGTAAATCATCAATAGCATCCTCTTTCTGGCACTCTGACTGCAACATGAGGTTGTATCGTCAAAAAGAGTGTAATTAACAGCCTCGCACAAATATTTTTAATACATTTTAATCTACTTAATTGCTATGTCAAATTTTTTGTTTTGATATTTTGTCCATATTTTCCTATTTGACCTCTTCCACATTTGGTGCAGATATTTTCCCGATTGATGGGAGAAGTTTTAATGGTCTCTTCTAAAGGTTTTCTTCAACACAGTCTATGAAAAAAATTCCATGCCACCCAAAAGTGGTCGCTACATAGAGGTGGACTTTCCTTGAGGTTTCACTGTATTTTCATAACATAAAACAGTGAAATCAATAAAAAATATAACTACATAAAAAATATACATATACAGTACAGAACCCGTTATCCGGAAATCAGAAAACCGGAAACCAAAAAACCGGAACGAAATTCGATAAATTTTCCCGCCATTTTTTAAAAAAAAGTGTTTTTTTTCCTCATAAGATTTTAGGATTTTTCTTTCCTTTTTGAAAGATGTTCACCTTACCATCATTTTGGAAATAATCATTAGTGTCTTACTTCATCGTTTTTTCTTCTTTTTAAGATTATTTCCACAAAAAAATTTTTTTAGTTGGGTTTAACAATAAAAAAACGGCTTTTTGTAACGATTCAGAAAACTGGATAAATCAGTTATCCGGAATAACGATGGTCCCGATCTTTCCGGATAATCGGTTCCCTACTGTACATTTACAATTTTATACAAACTAATCAAAAAATAATTACTCATCGATGTGCTTTTACTAGACACTCTTAAAAGAAATAACTTTAATTCTAACTATTTTTTTTCTTAAGAAATTGGTAGAAATCCCCAAAACACCTTTATTATATACCTTTCTTAGAAAAATTTAGGTTAAGGATAACGGAACTTTTAAAAGAAATATCAATACCTTGTTCTAAAAGAGTTGGCTCATTTCTTTTACATTCCACCACGCAATGATGTCTAAATAATTCTTGAGTTTTAGTGACTAAGTCCATGATCATAGGCCTACCAATTAGTTGCAGAGCATAATTTCTAATGTCTTTCTCAATGGCGCACTTCTCGGAATTCGTCATTTCTGAAGAACAGATGGATAAGTGAGCAGCTTCTTGAGGATATCTTTCAGGTATTTCAAATGTCACAAATGTTCCTTGATGGAGAGTAAACTTTAAAATTGTTGAATTTCCTAGGGGTAAATAAGGTCAAAATGAGTTTCTATGAATAATATAGTTCTTTATTGAAAAAAATAAACATTTATTGTAATACTAGTTATATCAAATAATACTAAGTAAAAAATCTTAGGTTATTGAATTTCAAGACCTGCGTATACTACTTTTTTTTAAGATTTAAATTAAGTAAATAATTAATGTAAATTTTTAACAATAATTAATTTAAAGTGAATAAATTAAATACCTACATTATTATTAAGAAACAAATTGTTTGACAACTATCAGAACATTTTAGTGTTAAATAAAACTTCTTATAATTTATTACAGACTAAAACTGTATCTAAAAATTATTTAATTAAAATTAAGTTTCAATATAATTTTTCTTTCTTTTAAAAAACTGCAATTTAAAAAACCAATAAGGATTTGGAAATATCCTCATTTCATGTGAATTCATTAACAAATTAAAGTTATTAATTCATTAATAATTAAAGTTAATTTTTAACGATAATTAATTTAAAGAAAATAAATTAAATATATTATCATGAAACAAATTGTTTGACAACTATTAAACATTTTAGTTTTAAATAAAACTTCCTATGATTTATTATAGACACAAACTGTTTCTAAACTAATTAATACCCAGTCAAGTTTCAATGGGAAATTTTGTTTTCTTTTGAAAAATTTCTACTTAAAAAACTAACAAGGATTTAGAAATACCCTCATTTCATATGACTTCACATTTTCTCAATGACCAGTTGTCCCAAAGAAAAATCATTTACAGAAATTGATGCAGTTAAATTATTCATAATTTTAGTAGAAAATAAATATTGTTTCTCATTCGATTTGAATTTATGCGCTTTAGAAAACTTCTAAAAAACACAAATTTAGATAGGATTATGAATAAAATAAAGCAGAAGTAGATAAAAAATAAAATAATAATATAGTTTATTCATGAAATTAGTTAATAATAACTCAGTTTAACGAAGTGCGGAAAACGCACATATTATAAGGTAATTTATAGCCTGTTTAACAGCTAGAATTTAATTGATGAAATTTAATGCTTTTGTACTTGAAACAAAATGTTCCATCTCTTCTGGATTATAACTTGCTTTTAACCATTCTAACTCGCAGGTAAAACTTTCCATTTCTAAAAATATTGAAAACTTTTCAGAAAATATTTAAAATAATACAGTTATTTTCAGTTTTTCCACCTCTTTTTTATTATAAAATATCAGATTACAACATTTAAAAACTAATGATTTCACACTTTCAACAAACATGCTTATTTGTTTATTTTCAGTTTACGTCATTTCCCTTCCATGCCAAAATTATATGGGGCTTTTCCGACTGCTTACTTTTGTAATTTACGAAGGAGATTAATTAATTATTTTATTTGTTTTCGCTTAACTGAAAGCTTAATAAAAGAGAAATTCAGTAAAATTTGTAATTTTCTTGGATAAAAATATATGATTACATAACTAAAAATGCATAAAAACTCTAATTCATAAATTAAAGTTTAATGTGAAAGAATATATCTTTCTTTTACGATTCATCGATGAAGACTGAAACACGTGTTATTGTTTTGGTTTACCGCTGTTTTCAGTTTGCAAGTACTAGCATGTCATGGACTTTCACGTTATATTTTACATAGTGGTACAAATGTGAAGAAACTTTAGAAGTTATTTTCAAGTTTAGAAGCAATGGAGAAAGCGTCCATAAAAAATACTCAGAGTCAAAAGTTTGGTTTTCCTAAACCAGAGCAAGTAAAAGTTAGTAGTATTTATTGCCTATTTCAGTTGTACTTTCACCTAGGTTTTCTTGATTTATTTATGAATTTATAAATTTGTGTTGAAGAGTATCTTTGATAAGCTATTTTCTGGAAGGTTTATCTGTTTTTACCTTTATGCAACGTTCACATTTCTTTTAAAAGGGAGCAGGGTGCATTTATTAAGAAAAGCACTTTTTGAAGAGTAAAAGGGAATTTTTTTTTCAAGTGAAATAAAAGACCCCAGAAAGGCAACCTCTGTGTGGTGGCCTTTTCTATTTACGGCCACTTTTGGGAGGCACGGAATTTTTTCTATAGACTTGATGTAGAAGAAAATCTCTAGAAGAGACCATTAAAACATTTCTCAGCGACCGGGCAGTCCTCTGCACCAAATGCAAAAGCTGAGCGTAACTAAAAGGTAAATTAAGGACAAACTAAGCATCTCATACAAACAAACCTCTTCTTATTTTTTAAAGCTAACTAATTTTCAATCATATGAAATTAAATACAAACCTGAAAAAAACATAATTGTTTTTTTTTTTATTTAAAAAAGTTCTCTTATTCGTAATTGTTAAATTTATTTTTACTCATAATTGCATCAGTAGATATCATTTTTATTGACGCTAAATTTTTTTCATTATTCCGGTTTTCATGTCGCCAACACAAGTGGTATTTCACTGAGAAAATGACACTGACAAAAATTAAAATCATTTGCGATAAATCATGTACCTTTGATAACATTTCGAAGTCAGTAGAGGTAACCTCTATGAACGACCAATCTTTATTAAGGACCATTTTACTGGAACAGAAAGCGGTCACTCCCGGGCGGTTTCACTGTATAAATATCTATATATATAGAAATTGATTTTCACTCTGTATTAAAATGTTGAATAAATTATTTTGTAATGATGGGTACAATGATTGGATTTAAAAGCCAGTCAAAAATTAAAGTAAAACTTAGTCAGGCCAAATTAGTCCAGTCATGAAATTGTGGCAACTAGTATTTTGTAGATAAAATCTATTGAAACTCTTTAAGTAAATAAAATGAAAAAAGCCATTGAAGACAATGAAAAACTTGGGTTAGTGTTGAAATGCCACAATACAATTTTACATTAGTACACCTTGATAGTCCTCCTTAATTTCACTGCAAAAAAACATGTCAGATAAATATTCACTACCCAAGTAGCTCATAATATTAGATAATATAAGGACATCTATCATTATTTTGCACAATTTTCAAATATTGGTACAATACAAAGATTGCTATTTTCTCTGCAATATATGTTTGATTCTATGCAAATTAGTATTATTTAGTGGTCGAGGTAATATTATTTTGCATTGGTTTTGATGATAATTTTAGATTTTCTGTTGTATCTTGTAATGTTTTTTATTATTTTTGGAATAAGCAATTGGAAGAGTTTAGATGATAGTAATATAATTCGGTAATATAATTTGACTCAATTTTCTGTATCATTATGAACCATTAAATATAGAACTAGGGTTTTAGGTTGTTCTTTCACCCATTATTTACTTAGCAATACAGAAATATTAATTAAAATTATATAACTGTATTTTGGCTACCATCCATTTTCAATGAATTAATTTGTGATATAATTATCCATTTCTGTATGTTATACCTCTTTAATCGTGTTGAATGTATTTATCTTGAATTGATTTTATGTTTCACAGCATACTCTATTGTAATATTTTTATGAGAATAAATTATATGTTTGTAATTTTTTTATTGCGTTTGCAGGTTTTGCAAGACATTAGCCGTGCACATGTTGAATCCTTCAACTATATGTTAAATGATGGTTTACCGAGAATTGTTAAAGTTAGTTTTTTTTTTCTTTCATATTTTATGTTTTGAATTCCATACTACATATAATTTATTAAAGCAGAACTAAGTGTCAATTAAGACTAAATTAATTTTTGTTTTTGCAGAACATTGAACCCTTAGAAATGGGATTACCAAATGGAGATCGTCTGAAAGTTTGGATAACTGTTAGTATTGTTTATAATTATTAAAAAAATATTTCATTACCTCTTCAAACAATTATTTGCTTTTTGAGTTAATCAAATGCAATGACATTGAAATGTTTTAACTTTTAACATAGTGCTCGATTTTTTTTTAATGACAGAATTTGTTCTTGAATTTTAATTTTAATAATATTTACTATTTTCTTTTAGAAATCCGTTCATCAAATACCAATTGTATGTTTAGAGTCAGGTGTCAATTTAACTGCTATAAGACTCTGGTTTAATATTAAAAATTTGATTTTGTAACAACTGACATAAAATAATTTAAAGACTTTTATCTTACCCCCACAAATTTTTACTTGTATTATTTCATACTGACTATGCAATAATAACTGTTATCTACAAGAAGAGAATTATTTTATAAGTAATTTGTAATTATTTTTATTTTAGTTATTGTAAATGATATTTGCAATTATATTTTAACATTTATTTTTCTGTAGTTTTAATAACTAGATCAATTATTTTATAGCTTAAAAAAGGTTATGTTTAGTGTATCTTAATGATTTATAACTTTTTAAGTGGAATATCTTGTAATTAATTTTAGTACATAAGTTTCCTAATTTGAGAACTATTCAATGCCTCTGAAATTTTTCATATTTTAATTTATTTCTGTCAAGGATTCCATTAATTTATTTTTGAAATGAATGAATAATTGCTTGTTTCATCAAAAGCATTGCATTTTAGCCTATTTTAATCTTTACAATGTTTGACTAATTTTAAATTATTTAACTAACTAATTTGAAATTGTAAAGTAAAATAAGTTATAACTTTTGGATGCTAAACTTTTTGTAAGAAATAAGTGCAGTTCTAGTTTTCACTGTAATTTTCGTAAAATGTTTTAGTTTTTTTTCTATAAAATTTTATTTATCACAAATTGGGTTTCATTTTTAAAATCTGTTTTTTCCTCTTTTTTTTTTCTTTCATCTTTTCTTTCAAAATTTTATTATTTTTGTGCATATTTATCTAACAATGCTATCTAATTATGAATAAAAAATGCAGTAAACTCGTAATCGCTACTATTGAATCAAAATTCAACTTTTAATATTTTTTTTGCCAAAAGTTGTATAATGTTTTCTTCTCTATATTTGTAATCTGTTAGTTCAAATAGTTTGAGAAATATGTATAAATTATTTTATCATATAAGTTAAAAATATTCTAAATAATTTAAAATATTCATCTGATTATTGAGTTAATATTCTGCTTGAATCTTTTGAAAGTGGAGATACAATTTCTTGATAAATATTTTATTCTATATTCTTGAGTTTTAATTTTTTTGAGAAAAATTCCTATTATAAAAAGATTTCAATAAATAATAAATATTGAATTTCCATTCTTTGTGCAATTACATTTCTTTTCCATCATTTAATTTTGAATTCATAGTTATTAATTAGCGCTATATTTGTACAGAAAATATTTACATCGTATAAATAATGTTCCTTTTCCAAGAGATAATTAAATGATTTTTTTATGCTTTACTTACATGTACACATTTTTTTCTCTTTTTTTTTCTTGCTCTTTTAGAATTGCAATATTGGAATACCCTGCATAAAACGGGGTACTACAGCTAGAACATTTAAAGTTTATCCAGCTGAAGTGAGTAAATTTTGGTCTTTTTTCTTATCTCATTTTTTTTTTCAGAATAACATGTAAGGCTCCTACTTTTCCTTTTATGAAATTTATCTTTCATATATTATTCTCACTGTAAACAAATCATTTACCTACTTGTAATAAATCAATTATATCCTTCTTTGCTTAGAAAAAGATGCATGCTTAGACCTAGAATAAAGGGATGAACATATTAGTCGTTTTTTATTTATTTATTTTTTTTTAACGTAAAATGCTGGTTTGCATCATGTTGGTGCTTGTATTATCTGCTTTTCATCTTGTCACTTTGTCTTCGCAGCTTGCATGAACTTGAAATTAATTGTGTGATAAGCTTTTTTTTGTTTGTTACGTTATGATTTTGAATTTTGCATTCACTTTACAAAATACGAGTGAACTGTGTTCCAGCGATCAGTAATATTAAATCTGTACATATATACTGTATTATAATTTCATAAAGAAATGGTAACAGCAAAGAATATGGATCTCAAATGTATTAAGATAATCAAATATGAGTATTGAAGAGTTAGAAAAAGTTTCGGTCACTTAGAGATGAAAAATTCTGTAGAAAAAATGGAGTTTGTGATTTGTTGTATGGAGATAAGTCTGAAATAAAAAAATGCTAGATGAACATACAAAAACTAGCCAAAGAATTTAGGTAATTTGGGAGCATAGAATCATAGCCAACAGTTAAAATTTTTTAATTTATTTAAAACTACCGGAATTCATTTTGAATTAAAAACTTACCTAGAACCTGTGTAGAATTTGAAGTGTTGTAAATTTTTGTTTATCTTCTACAATGTAAAATTTGAAATTTGTTGTTAGATTAAAGAAAACTCAGTTGTCTAAGTTACTCTTAAATTTACCAATTTGCTGAATTGTTAAGAGATATTACCGAAGTGCTTACAAACTTTTGAAAAATAAAACAAAAAGTAACTGGAAAGTGTTTGCCACTGAAATTAAAAAAATTGAAAGATATAACAAAAAAAAAATTTCACTTGGAACTATGCATTTGGATTTCAAAATTATAGTGGAAAGAAATAAAGTTCAATAGTTAAGGAGAGTATTCTAAATGCTAAAGGAATTGAAATTATCTGTTATTAAAAAAGTTTGTCAAGCAATCTAAAGAATCATCAAAACTAGTCACCAACATAGGCGTATTGTGAGGGGGAGCACACACTTTTATTTTTTAGAAAAATGCTTATCTATTTTAAGTTTTATGAATGCAGTTATATATAAATATACATGCATATTAAAAATTAATATGCATGTATACATAAAACTTAAAATAAATTAACTATTTTCTGAAAAGAAAAAATTTACCCCTCACTCTATGTCTATGGTCACCAAGAAGAGCAAGACTGGTATTTGAAATTATTTAGATTCATATTTTGTTTTTGGAAAAGCTTTCGTATATTTGGAATTCTTTTTTGAAAATTAGAAACTTAATAGAAATTAATATATTTGGAAAGAGTTAAGAGAAAAAGTTGTTAACTTCACTAGCTAGAAAAGTAAAGTTTTAAATTTAGCTAAAAATATAAAAAAATTCGAAAAAAAATAATTGGATGTTTTTAAAATAGATTTAGCGTAATTTAATATGATAAAGTATTTAAAATGATTAAACTTGAAAATGAAATAGTGTTAAATGAATCAGATTGCAGAAAAGAGTTCTAGTGTTCCCAAGTTATGTATTTAAACAAAATTGATTTTGGATCGAATTATATGAAGTTTAAAATTACATGTGTTTGTTTAGTTTTTAAACTCGTGAACAAGATAAGAATAAGTGTTTTGATAAAAGTAAGTTGTAATGTACCATCATGTGTGTAACAAAATATTATTTGAATGATGTAAGATAGTTCAAATATTATAATAATAATTCAAATATTATGGTTTAAAATACAATTTTAATTAGCTATTTTTTTGTAGTGTCGTTCTCGCTGTGTTTCTTACAAAGCTCCCTTTACAATTACTGTAGCATGGAGCTTGAATGGCTATTTACAAGAATATATAGAAAGATTGGTTGGTGAAATCCCTGTTATGGTGAAGGTAAATTATTTTTAAAGATATTTAATTTTTTTGCATAGCCTATATTGAAGGATAAACATATATACATATTAGTTGAATAATTTTTCAATGCTAAGATTGACTCATGTTGCTATGAAATTTTTTTTTTACAGTTTCTGACTACTGGTAGGTCAAAATATGTGAATTTCTCACGCATTAGTTGTGGAAACTTGTGTACCAATTTTGGTTTGAAATTTTATATTTATGCAGTTGTAACATGTTGCAGTTGTAACTTTTGTAACATGTGTTTATATTCTATTAATAATGGAGTTTTAGACAAATTTCAGTCTTTAAATCAAATAAGCTATTTAAAAAAGGATAATATTCTCTATAAGTGTAAATAAGTCTCTTTTTCTAAGCACCCGTTCTCTTTTTTCTTCAAGTTAATTGAAAAACATAATGGTTGCACATGTCCTCCATTTACTTAAAGAAACACTATAATTTTTTATGCTTTCTGCTAATTTCCTGGAAGAAGAAAAATTACATATTTCATGAGTTTCGAAAATTCCTTCAATAATACTTTTAATAATGACAAAGATATATGTTACTAATTTAAGGAAACAAAAATCCTGTGTGTATATATATATGTACAAAAATTATAAATACTTTTGTATTAATAACAACATTAAAACTCTCTCGTTTTCATAAAATGCCTTTGGTAAAGGATAGGTGTAGAAATTCTATTTTGTGAATTCAAGGCTGAAAACATACCATTGAAATATAATAAATTTATATTTCTAAAAAGGAGTTATTTTTAGAATCTTGTCCCTGTTTCACTTCCATATTAGGAAGCATTAAATGATTATCGATGGTACGTAGAGTTACAATGGTATGTATGACTTGAGCCTGTTTACATCATTCTCTGTTTGTATTTAATGCGGGAGCGATTGTTTTCGCATGTCTCTTTCTGATTAACGTGGTCCATAAAAGATCTGTCGAAACCATCCGGAGTTTTGTCCACACCTCCTCCCTTGTGGAGTGTGGATCTGAACTTTTATAACCACCAACCTACCTTTAAATAAACCATTTGAGAACTTATTATGGCTTACGGCTGAATTATTAAAGGTGAATACAACAATGATAACAGGGATGTAGCCCTGCTATTATATATATATAAATTTTAATTGAATAAGTAATTTTTTTTTATATTTTAATATTATGGGCAATATTCTCACATTTTATTGGGGGAGGTGGGAACATTAAAAACCGCAATGTGACAAAGCAACTATATATCAAAAAATCTTTTACTTTTATTCAAAATTTGATTGTGTCCTGAATTGATTCATAATACTTGGTCATTTTGCATATCAATAAAGTGGAGAAATATTGACAAGTTTGGATGTAAACTTTTCTCTCCTTAATTAAAATGTAATAAGTTATAGGTGTGTTACTCCTTCAGAAGGAATGTCATGTGACCTTAAACTTTATTTTTACAGCTTGGCGAATTAAGAAAAAGTGTAATTGAGGGAAGATGTGATTGATTACTGGATTAGTTAAAATATTTTCAACAAAATTGTTCTATTGTGACGTGCTCAACTTCGCACACTGGTTTTGAAGTTACCAAAGCGGGTAGCCATTCCTTCTGCAGGGGATCAAAATTGCGATGACGTGACTTTGGCCCATCCTCAGGGGTATTTCCCTTACTATAACCAAAAGCCCATTGTTTAACTCGAGTGCTGCATGAATAAAGCACTACTACTAAATATTATGCTATTTTTTATATTTTTTTTTCTATAGATAAAAGTATTAATGTATAGAAATTTGTTTCTTAGATTATTTGATTATTTTTTCATTCTAGTCTCAGGCTTGCAATATTAGTAAAATGAAGCCGAAAGAATTAATTGCAGTTGGAGAAGAAGAAAATGTACGTCTTTTCATTTATTTATTTATAATTCATTTTACTTTTTATGCTTTATTTGTTATTTTATGCTTCTTGCTCCTTCTGACTCACTCATAAATAATTTATCTTTATAATTTTAATTTGCAATAAAATTTTTCTTCTAAGAACTTGACTGAGGTCAGTGTTCTCAGTAGAAATTGTTATACCATTTAAGAGGAAACCGTGAATCAATGAAGTTTAGATGACACCTTCTCAACATTCCAATGAATTCCTAAAAAAATTCTATCTAACTTAAATTGTGATTCTTTATCTAATTTCAATTATAGTTTAACAGATTAAAATGTTTAAAAGTTTTCAGTGGAAAAATAATAGTTGAACTAATTTTTACAAGAATTATGTTAGTTATATGTTAAGCATATGTTGTGATTGCTAAAATATCCAAAATACTGTAGTAAAATGTAAAATTCATTTCTGATATAATTTTAGTAGTTTTTGGGGATGGTTTACCTTTTTGTTAATTGACTTTCTTTTAATATGCATGTTTTTCCCTATTTTAAAGGAGCAATGTAGCAGTAAATGCAGATTGTGCCCATAGTTTATATGGTCCAATGTATACATAGTTTTTTTTATTTTTTCTTAGGAATTTGGTGGTTATTTTATTATAAATGGCCTTGAAAAAGTTATCCGTCTTTTGATCATGCAAAGAAGAAACTATGTAAGTTTATTTAGATACTTTTATCCATATGTAAATATTTATATCGTATATATATGTGTGTGTGTTTTCATATGTATATATATTCACTTTAATTTTTTTAATGTACTTTTAAAGCAGCTTGATATTCAATTGAATAGTTAAAACATCTTTTTGTCTATAATAATAATTCTTAAAGTAAAAGCTCCAGCTATTCATTTTTGATTTATAAATATATCTGATATTTTGTTTCTATATATTATAAAGATTATGCATTAAATTAGCTGTATACAAAAGTAGAGTTTGTGAGGAAAAACTAAAGCACTTTTTTTTTTAAAGGTGAGGCGTTGTTGTCTGGTTAGAATTTGCCATTGCAAAATTAAAAACTATAAGCTGTAATTGTTATAAAAAAAATTTGTTAATTTTAAGACAAAATTATGTCAATTTTAAGTATTTAAAACCTTGAAAACAATACAACTAATCAAATGAAAATAAAACTACAATAGAAATTTTTTTTTAAAAAAAGTATGCACAATGTTAAATTTTCTCAAGGATCTTTATGTATTTATCAAACACTATTACTGTTCAGCTGTAAGGGGAACTCCTCTAGACTAAAAGTCTGGGGCTGTCTGGGTTGTGGTAACAAGAGAAAGAGCATATTTTGATGAGGGTACATGGGCGGAATGAAGAGTCGATTAGTCACAAGGCAAGGATTTTCATGCCAATTTGAGCCAATAGCAAGACTAAATTAATCTCCACTCACCTCTATCCGAAGTGACTTACCCCCATAGCCATAGTACCTGCCACAATGCAAGACCAATCTGTAGAGGAGTTCTCCTGAAAGCCATACAATATGTATAGTTAACAATGATTTTTGTTATTGTTTATAGCCGATTGCTATGCAAAGAAATGGTTGGAAAAAAAGAGGTGACATGTTTACAGATTATGGAGTCTCCATTAGATGCGTTGCTGATGATCAAAGTGGATGTGTGAGTGGTTTGAATTTCAGAACTTCTATTTAACCTGTCCATTTTCAACTACTAATAAATTTCTGTTATAAATGCTAAGGTAATGAATAAATATAAAAAAAGTTATTATTATTTTCCATGGCATGGGCTTGAGTTTAGTTTCCTGCTCTAAAGACTAGATATCTAATCAGGTTACATATTCATCGTTTTAAGTGCTACTTGTTTGGAATCTATGCTAATCTGATGTCTCCAGTGGTTTTAGAGCAATAAAAGTCTATGTACCATTATCATTATCTTATCATTTAGTCTATTGCAGTCAGTTTATTACTACCATCATATTCCTTCTAATCTAAATTTGGATAGTGTAGTACTAATTGAAGTTAAATAAGTGACTGTGTAAGTGTTACCATTTAGCATAGTGGAGTTCTAGTGTGACATTAAAATTAAACTTATTTAATGAACTTTGGATTCTGAAATATTTATGTTGAATGAATGATTACTGTATTGAAAACCATTCTTCAAATGCATACATAAACCTCAATATTATGAACTTCAATAAAATGCATTTTTCGTTATTATGAAATAATATGAATTCTCTACACTTGCTCTGTTGATAATAGAAAAAGATCTCTTTTAGTTTAGTATCTCGACTGCATACATTGAATACCAGATGAATCTTGATTTCCCAAAATATTTTCATCACCAAAAGTTTTTTTTTTCTTCCTAATTTAAAAAGTATTTAAAATGCTTTCTTAAATTAGAATTTTTAAAAACCTTTTAAAAAAATTTTTTGATCTATTTTTTTAAGCCGTAATAAAAAAGAAATTGCCTTTTTTAAAAAGAAGTTGCCTGGTATTAATGTAAGATGTATGTCATAGATAAGAGAAAAAGAGAAATAGCATAGATAATAGAAGAACATCCACAGGAGTAGATGGTCTAAATAATAAATCGAAAAGAAACTGATCAAAAGATGAAAAGAAAAATTTTGATAAAACTAAAATCGAATGAAGAAGTAAAAAAAATTTCAATTTTTTTTTTTTAAGTAACTATGTAGTAAATACATGTTATACAACTTTTAAAATGTCAGTACAGTTACTATTTGAACTAAGATTTTAAAAAAAAAAATTTCTTTTTTCAATACTCCATATTTCTTTCTTTTTTTTTTTCTTTTTTTTTATTCCTTTTTTTTTTGTGTCTTTCCTTGAGTTTATGATATTGAGGCTTGATTATACGGAAATTGACTAGAGATTTATTTGTTGATAACTTTTGAATTTTAATATAAATTATCTGCGTAAACTAAGATTGGAGCTAAAATTTGAAAATGCAATGTGTTTGCTGCTGTGCATGATAATTAATTTAAAGTAATTGTGCCATTATTTTAATAAATTGCAGTAAATTTTAATAAAGCTTCTGAGAATTTTTAGACTTTTTTTTAGAAACAATGAATTTTTGTCATTTCATTTTTAAATCCATCGGAAGGGATGTTTCTTTGGTTATAAGTAGAGCCCGGATTTTGATGACCTAAAAAATCTCAACTAATGTCCTTAAAAAATGCAAAAAATGGCCTTAAAAAGTGCAAAAAATGCTCTAAAAATGCGAAAATTGCACTAAAAATGCCTTATGACATGACTTAGTATGACATGACTTAGTAGTTGAGTAAGTAAAAATATCGAACTAAAACTATATTTTACTCTTTAAAATTATGAGTCATTTCAAAAACTATAAAGCAATGTAATACTTGTTCTACGTTCATTAAAATTTGAAAAATATGTGTTATATCCTAAAATAACAAAAAAAGAGGAAAATATATTGACACCAAAACATTTTCATTTTGTACAGAAACTTTAATGAATATAACAACTTACATGTAATAATATTACTAAATATCAGAATTACATTGGATTATTAAATGTTTTTTGATATTTTGAAATGTAAACGAGTGTCTCTTGTCTGAAAGTAAATCTTTATACCTGGAGAAGCTTCTTTCAACGTCTACTGATGTTAATGATGCATATTTGAAAAAGATGGTCTCACTTACTGACAATTCATCTTTAATTTGAAAAGTTGTTGCTTCACCTGTTAGTGTCCTAGAGATTTTCTTCATTGTTTGGAAGCCAGTGTTCTTCTCCGAAACTTTGTTAAATTTAGCTGCTACACTTTGTCCTATTTCCCCCCTTGCGTTTTGCAACACTCGACTCACTACATCAATATAATTTATTGCATCACAAAGTTCCAATTCTTGTTTCTCCAGGCTTGTAATTGTCGAGGACTCAATAGCAAAGTTAAACTTGATAAATGCTAAGTTTCCTTTGATTTTATCAGAAGCGAACACGTTTAGCGCTATCTAAATTGATGCAGCATCTTCCGAATCAAAAGTACTGACGATAGACTTCACTATCTTAAAATTTTCACTGTAGTATTATACGCATGCATCCAACCAGGTACCCCATCGTGTGATTACTGGTTTTGGGGGCAAAGCTGACTAGGAGCAAATGTTTTGAAACATTCTAGTGCATAAATGTATGCTCTAGCAAATGTTTTGAAACATTCTTTGAGAGTTACTATATGAAAAGTAAAATTATAGGACAAATCTTGCATTTCATGTAATAAAAATACCCCAAAAAATAATAAAAATTGGAAAAAATTAACAAAAACCTTAGAAAATGCTTTAAATTGCAAAATACACCGCAAAATTAAAAAAAAATGCCCTATTAATCTGAAAAAATGCTCTAATGGACAGAAAATGTCCAAAAATGCAAAAAAATGCTAATGTCATCAAAATCCGGGCCTTAGTTATAAGAAATTTTTTTGTGTCCTTTCAACTTTGCATTAATATATTTTGGTTGTATGTTTCATTTTTTATTTAGAATCTTGTTCTTCACTACTTATCTGATGGTACTGTGAAACTAATGTTTACTTATAAGAAAGAACTTTTTTTTGTTCCTGTGATGTTGATTCTTAAAGTCCTTATTGATGAAACAGATAATTATATATACCAGCAACTTATTAAAGGAAGAGAAAAAGATAATTTTTTCCAAGGGTAATTTCACTTTAATGTTTATAAACATTTCCCTTTAAATGATTATTACATTTTCATCTCATATTTTGGTAATTTTATTTTTATGTAGTAGAATAATCTAATTAAATTCAAATTTTGTAATTAATATTCCACTATTCCTAGATAATTTGAGCAGTTTCTAAATTCTGTATTTTCTGCCCTATTAATCTACAAGTTATATATTACCTCTTTTGTTAAATTTTTTTTAAAAAAAAACATGTCCTAAATAATTGTTATAAATTGTTAAATCTGATACTTTTCACTATCCTGAAGCAGCATTTAAATAAAAATGTTGCTTGTTAAATTGTTTTTTTAACTTATTCTTTTTATTATTATTTAACATGCTTTAATTTTCAATATTTTACTATATTTATCTAACACTTAGTGTAGTCCTTTTCATTCTAATATTTATGTTTTTAATTATAAAAGATTCAACCAATTTTATATTTTTATCCAAATTAAAAAAAGAAATTAGTTAAAAAAATTTAATTTATTTTAAGTATTTACAAAACAAAATTTCTCAAAATTGCAGAATTTTTACTGATATTTTTGGAAATTTAACTGATATTAACTAACCACTAATTTTTTTTTCCTTTTAAATGTTGATAGTGTTAAAAAAAAAAAAGGCAGGGTTATACTCAAGCAAGAAATCATTGAATAGAGAGCAGTTTTGAGTGAAAAAAAGTCTGTATTAAATAAGTTTGATTGTTGTTCATATGGAAAATTAATTTGTGTTTTTATTTTCAGTTGTATTACTAAGATGCTGCGCCAGATTAATTCTGAAGGAATTGTCTTCCATAACCAAGCCCTAAATTATGTTGGAAAAATGTTTAGTGTCAAGTTTGGGTTACCATCTTGGTATGAAAATGCTGATGTTGCCAGGTTTTTACTCAGGTTAGATGCATTTTTTATTCCTAAATTTTTTAATGAAATTTCTATCTTTAATTTGCAATCTTCATTGACTTTAAAATTTTAGAGTTATTCTTTGTAAGGGAAATACAATTTTTTAAAAAAGGAATGTTTAAAAATCACAAATGGTAAAAAAAAAATTATTTAAACCTGTGTGCATTTCATTGTCACATTTGTACACCTTTATCAGTAGGATAACAGCGTTATGTCACACAATAGAGATAAATATACAGTTAAAATCAGACACAGATAATCAGCCAATTAAAACCAGACAATCAGCCACATTAAATTTATAATTTCCAAATATTTAAAAAATATGTAGGAAAATCATTAACAATAAAATTTTTGTTTTTGATGATAAGGAAAGTGTCAGAAATCCAGATGAACGCACAAAATATATTTAAGAATGATATACAGTGTGGAAAAATCGAACTTCATGTTGGTGCTGCTATGAGGAAGGTATTCTAAATCTAGTTGTAAGGTATGATAAGTTTTTAAGCAAACTTAACAACTATTTTGAAAAAAGAAACGTATGTAGAATCAAAAAATAAATTTGCTTCATAAAAATTTTCTTTTGTTTGGTTTTTATTTTCAAACGGTCCTTACTTAAAAAAATAGCCCTTGTAGATCATTAATTTGTATAGAAATCGTTCAAGATAATAACTCATTCATAATTTTTTTTTCTCTTGCTTTTATTTAATACTTTATCTAAATTTAGCTTCATTAGAATTTTAAGAAATATCATTATACATAAACTGTCTGTTTAGTTTTTTATCATGTTTTTTTTTGTAATTCTTGGTATATAACTTTATTGTTTCATCATAGTAAATATTAAAAATAATTGCTATATCATGTGAGTAGATATAGTTCTATTTTTTATATGCCTATCCAGGTGTTTTTAAAGAAAGTTTTTACTTTTCAGAAATTGTATATTGGTCCACCTTCAGAATGACAAAGAAAAGTTTGATCTGCTAGTGTAAGTTTTTTTTTCTTTCCATTTTTAGGAATTGAATAATTTAAATTATTTTTAAAAAAAATTTCATCAATGTGTGCAAGTAAAAATGCTGAAGATATGGGGAAATATAGACTTTTAGAAGAATTAAATGATATAGCAGATTTACCTGCTGAGGTAAAACGAAAAATAAGAATGGACAAAAAATGGTGTGTTATTTTTGAAATAACATTCTATGGTGGCTGCTTTAAAAAATACTATAGGATAGTAGAAATCATGGTTACTATTTTGAGCATACCACAGAGCAATGCTGAATATGAAAGACTATTCAGCATTGTTCAAAAAGAAAGTCTTAGTCTGACAAATCCATGGAGAACATTCTAGTTGCTAAAACCACTCAAACTAGATGTTATGAGCAGACCTTTTATAAGGAATTCTTAAAAGTAACTAAGTCTGATACATATGAACATTTAAAACTTTACTTGTTGTTAATTAAACCTAAATATTAATTTAACGTTTTCTTTTTTTATTAACCCGGAAAATTAAATTTTGAAATTGTGTATAAGTAGTGCGTTAAAAAAATTATGTTATTGATAATAAAAAAAGTTTGTCAGGATTTATATAAAAAAAAATTTAAATTGTTTTCAAAAGGATAATTGTTTAGAAAAGTGTATATATAATTGACAAATGTATTTTTAAAGGTTTTATAAATTCAGCAGCAGATTATCCTTAATTCTGTGTAAAAATGTTCTTTAATAGCGTGTAAAACGCTAGTTTAGAAATGTAAGGTCATGCAGATTACAGCGTTGGCAAGTATAATTTTACTTATGTAATTTTTAAAAATGTAAAAATGCTATCAAGGTATGACTTTTGATGTTATTTATGTTACTAATAAATAGACTGCGGTAACTATAAACCAAATTTTGGGTCTTGTAAGTCCAGAATACTTAAATGATATCCTTACTGACCCCGTGGCAGAATCATGGCGACATTGTCGCAGAACGTTACTGAGGTCTTGCAGAACGATTTTTCTTTTGGGAAGTAAAAAGTTTTTTTTTTTCTTTTGTTGAAATTTTCGAAAGATTTTATCTTTTCTTCAGAATTGCTTTCAAAAGATGCCTTTCTCGCACATCCCAGTTGGAGAAAATGCTTTTTCTATTCTCATTTGAGAACAATGAAAAAGTAAAAAAATTTTGGTTTTCTTTTCTGCAGAAAATTTCGCTCAAACTTTTTTAATGCAGTTATTATTACTATTGATTTTCGCATAGTTTTAAAATTCGATATTTTTAATATGACATTATTTATTACAACAACTGAATCTCGAAATGAAAACACGCATTTTGTAATCCTTTTTTTTTAAGAGTCCGATTTACTGCTACGGATTTCACGATTTTTTAGTTTTTTTTAAATGAGATGATGATTTGCAAAATGCGAAAAAGGAAATAATTAGTGTGTTTTCCCCCAACAAAATGTGAGAATATAGCCCATAATATTTGCATAAAAAATATTACATATTTAATTAAAAAAATTTATTTGATCCGAAAAGTTTCTTTCTTTTTTTTTCTTTTTTTTTTTGAAGTTGATGCTTTTGTTTCTTTAATTTAGTGACATGTATATTTGCTGTTTTTAAAAATATCTTGCAGAAAGATATTATTTTTAGAGAGGTATGTCGCAGAAAGCCCTAAAAAATTCTGCCACAGGGCTTACTGACTAATTCTTTGAAAAAATGCCTTATGTAAAAAGCTAGTTCCAATGTTAAATAATCTTATAAACTATGTCTTCATCCATATTGAACTATGAATTTTATTGTATTACTTTGTGAAATAATGTTTTGTAACTTTTTTCTTTGTTCTAGATTCATGGTACAAAAATTATTTGCTCTTGTAAAAAATGAATGTGCATTGGAATCTCCAGATAACCCTATGAATCAGGAGGTCCTGCTGCCTGGACATCTTTTTCTTCTTGTTCTTAAGGCAATTCTCTTTGGTATTCATAAATTAATTCTTACTGAGCGTAAGAATGCTAAACATTATTCTAAATTCGTAAACGTTAACCTTATGAATCAACTATTAAATTCGTTCTTACTGAATGTAAGATCGAGTAGTTAGTTTTTTTTCCTAACAACTTTTTGAATTTTTTTTTTTTTTTTTAGAAATTTTTGATCTGCATTAAAAATTTTTAGATCTTACATTAAATTTGTTTTGTTTATTTTTCATTCCTTTTATTTTTCGCCGGATTTTTGACCCCCGAAATATAAGGGATAACCACAATCTCTGGCATACGATTCCCATAGTTCGATTAGGAGACCGGTCCAAGGTTTGGACCCATTAATATTAATTTCATTTATTTATTTTTTTTCCATATTTCATCATCCCGCAATTTAAAAAAAAATTCACATATCTATAAAATTTGTTTATCCAAAGATAATTCCATGTAAAATATAACTTTTGGTAAACATTTATTACTTTTCATTATTTTATTTAATAATGGTTGAAAAAAATTTCACAGGAACTATTCGACCGATTTTGTTCAAATTTTTTATTTTGCCAAAATTACATTTGAGTAAAAAATTTTAGGCCTTACAATTCAAAGTTTTTTCGAGCATTATTGAAGAAAACAAAAACAAAAAAAAATATTTACTAAGAGTTATATTTTGCTTGGAATTATCATTGGGTAAATGAATTTTATAATAGTCTGCAGAAATGTTTCAATTCGCTTGAAAATTTTTTGATGTGGCGAAATATACAAAAAAATAAAATTAACAATATGAGGTCCAAACTTTGAATGGCTTTCCTGTCCGAATTATGGGGACTATATTTCCCAGATTGCTGCTACCTCTTATATTTTGGGGGTTAGAAATCGAAATCCGTTGAAAAAAAGTATGTTTATTTAAAGAAAGTATTTTGTGTCTGATTTTATAACTTAAAATGTTGTCTGCACTAATTAACATATTGGAGGTCACCCCCTTGAATCATTAAGATTGAATCCTAGAATATGAAGATTTTATCATTAAATCAAAAGTTATTCAGGGTGATCCATTTGTTTTTTACATACAGTGCATAGAAGTTAGGTAGAGGTTTTCAATTTTGTGGTTTCAAGTAACTCTACTTCTATGCTGAACATTTAAAAATTTTTATTTATTTTATAATCGGCGTTGAACCGCCGGCCCAATTTTGGGTTTACTAATATTCAACTCCATAGCCTTGTAATTTTGTACCCAATCCAGAATATAAGGGAACTCCTGGATCAAGTATTGGAAGAAATTATGCTTTTGTGGGAGACTTTTTTAATGGAACTAATCCACAATTGCATTACATGGAGAGGAAAACCTCCCACAGGTTGCCTGGCAGCAGGGGGACTGACCCATTGTCCGTCCACCTCTGAGGATATTTTACGTCAGCACTGTTATCGATGCCAGCCAGGTCGCCTCATTGGAAGGCGAACGCTTTATCCCCTGAGCCACCTTGGGTCTATAATGAACATTGGTAGAATGCGATTCATTGGAAAAATTGAATTAAAACAGTGAGTAAAATGACTAATTTATAGAAAAATTAGGGCAGAACTACTTTTTTATTTTTTGGCTTCTTAAATTAAATATACTGCTTGCATGACAACGACCATCATCATGCTTTCCTTTTTTTACCTTCTTATAAAGAGATTATAAATGACTGATTTAATAATTGTCTGCTTAAAAAAAAGTATTGCTCTTAATAACTTTTGATTTAATAATTGGATCTTTGCGTTCTAGAACTCAATCTTAAAGGCTCAAGGTGGTGACCTGAAATATAATAATTAATTTGTGCAGATAATATTTAATATACGAAATCAGACACAAAAACATATTTTCTCTGAATAAACTCAGGGATGAGATTTTTCCGCTTTTTTCACTTTTATCTCTTAAATTTCAGCTTTTTTTTTTTTATCAAAAATTCAGATTTTCTAAAAATTTCACTTTTTTTTATCGGTATTCCGCTTTTTCAGAAAATTCACCGATTTTCAAAGAGAAACAGAAAATTCAAACTACATAGCTACCAATCCTTTCTCATTTTTACTTATTTTAGCTATTTTCTCCCCTTTTACACGCAGCAGATANTCAAATAAAAAACAATTATCTAAACAGTTGCTGATTGTCATGTAATTTTTCAAACTAAAATAGCAATTTTTGTATGTTAAGGAGTTACTATATATTTCTATTTCACTGTTATCGTTATGTTTCAAAGGGCTCTAGTTAGATTAGACTATAATATGAACATAATGATTCGGTTCAAGTTTTTTTTTCTCCAATATAATTTAAAAAATAATATTACTGATATATTTGCTATAAATCACATAACAGTATTTATTAAAAGAAATGAAATATTAATGTTTGTTCTCAGTAGTTTTAATTTGCTAAACCAGGTAGTTTTTCAAGTAATAATTGTCTCTTGGGTGAACTGAGGAAAAATATAATTTCCAGCTGTATTTTTTCAATTGGTAATTTTTATTTTCACTAAATGTTAAGTATCAATATAATCATTTATATAATAATAGATTAGTACACAATTGTATGTCAACGCATTATTTATTACCTTAAACTGTCTGGAATTTATTATTAAAGGGTTGCGCTTGCGTAAAATTTACTATCGTGGAAATTCAGCTTTTTTGCCTTTTGGCTAATCTCATCCCTGATAAACATACTTTTTTTCTGACGTCTTTGGATTTCTAGCCTGAAAATTGGGGAAGGATAGCCGCAATCTGGGAAATATGTTCCCAATAGTTTGGTCAGGAGGGTGATCCAACGTCTAAACCTCTTAATGTTAATTTTACTTTTTGTATTATACTTTGCCATATCTTGAGAATTTTTTAAGCAGATTGACAATTTATTGCAAAAATTATAAAATTTGTTTTTTTTTTTTTTAAGGAGAATTTTATGCAGAAAAAGTTTTTTTTTTTAAATAAATTTTTATTATTTTAATTAATAAAAGTTGAAAAATTTTGTACTGTAAGTACATATAATGTTCACAATTCAAAAAGTGTAATTTTACATTGCAAAATACAAAATTTGAACAAAATCAGTTGAAAAGTTCCTGAGAAATCAAATTTTAAGTATATAACTTTTTAAAATTCAATTGCTGTTGTATCTTCAATTCTAATATTTGCAGAATTTCCAGAGTACTATAAATTATAAAAAATAAAAATGCTTAAATCTTTTCCATTAAAATCATTTTTTGGTAATTAATAAATATTTTTAAAAAAGGATAATAATAATAATAGCTCAAAATAATAATGTTATTTAGATTATTTTATGCTTGTAGAAACTCTTTTGGAGTCTATTTCTCATATTTGAAGTTACTGAAGTGACTATTTTTGTAGTCTTACCTCAGTGGCAACCTTCTAAACAGATAATGAACAAAATATTTGGTAAATTAAATGGACTGAAGTCTGATAACAAACAATATGTAGTTTCATAACTATTAAAACTACTAAAAATTATTTAATTATTGTTTTCTGATTTGCTGAACTCTAAATATTTGTATTGTTTATCCTGTTCTGAATTGTTTATTTCTTTGTTAATTATTTTTTCAGCTAATATTATGTATTATTACAGGAAAAACTATACTCTTGGCTGGGAACTTTAAGACTCGCCATTGATAAGAAAATAAAATCTGGGAAAGTCACAACCTTTGATCAAAGTAGTGTACTATTTTAAATTTTTCTAAAGCAAACATTTATTTATAAGTTGCATTTGTTGTTTTACATTTTTATTAATTATGTCGGGAGAATATTTTGCTGAGGATACAAAAACAATACTGCCGTGAAATTGAAGAAGAAAACAAACAACGTAAGTGCTTCACGATTGATACCGAGAAAAGTGACTTCTACTAAAAAACTACTTTCCTTCAAAAAACTGATAAAGCAAAGTTCATTTTGAATTTTTTTGTTTTTTTTGTTTTGCAATATGTAGTTAACTATACAAAGATGTGAAATATTTTAAAATCTCAATATTGAGGTTTTTGTCACTTGCTTTGATTTTTCAGTTGCGCGATAGAAGCATGATTTTTGAATTGCACATCAGAATCATGAGATTCTTCAGAATTTGGGCAGAATTTCCAATTTTGTAAATTGTTAATTATAACATTTGTGTACAAATATGAAAAATTCCAATGAAGAAAACAAACTTTGAAGCTTGTTTACTTTTACATTTACTTTGGATTTGTTTTGTATGATTTGGTTTGCAACTGCTCACTTGTTTTTCAAGTTTTTTTTCCTTGCCATTGACAATAACTGCCTTTTTGGTCTTTGGATTGTACTTGAAGAAAAGTTCTGATATGTGGCGTGTAGCAATTGGTACATGTGAGGAACTTTTATTTTCATACCCTACTTTCAGCTTAAAAAATGGAATTTGACTCTTAAATGTGTGCAAAAAGATCTTATATGTGAAATAGTTTTTTAAATAAATATTAAAATAAGTTCTTCAACTTAAAGGATATTTTTCTTTATTTACTTTTTCTTTTTTTTTCTGATCTAAATCAGCTTTACTTTTAAAGTTTTAGTATTTTGCCTTTTATGTTTTTATTTTAAAAATGTGTCTGCCATTTGGAAAATGATTTATATCATAATATCCAACTCAACATATTTCTTTTTATTTCGTAGATGTTATGAAAAACTGTATTTTCAAGACAATGGATGTGTCCAAAAGTATAGAAAATTTCCTTGCTACAGGAAATTTTGTGGCACGATATGAAAGCAATCTGATGCAGTCATCGGGTTTAGTTATTCTAGCTGACAAATTAAATTTTTGGCGATATTTATCACATTTTCGCTCTGTTCACAGAGGTGCCTTTTTTGCTGAAATGAGAACAACGACTGTCCGAAAACTCCTTCCTGAAGCTTGGGGTAAGAATTAAGGTTTCATTTAATATTTGATTATTATTTTCATTAAAAATTTTAATTTTACTTCTCCCCTCTCCTTGGAGTAAAATTCCATTTTCTATCCCAGAAGAGTATTTAAATCATTATATAGTTCTGTGGTTAGTCTCAAATGTAACTTGTAAAAAAGTAACAGTTTCTTTCAACATTCTCGTTACAAAAATATGAACTTTTTCAACTGAAAGTAACGAAGAAAAAAAAACAAGTAAAAGTACAAAATTTAAAAAGTAACGAAGTACAATTAAAAGTATGTACTTTTTACTTTCGTTTCATAAAGGAAACTAGTTTCCTTGCTTTGAATTCCTCCAAATGTTTCACTCTGTATCACTCTTCTATTTATTCAATAGAGAATCAATTTCTTTTTTTAGTTGATCATTTTCGCCTGTTCTAAGTTAGTTTGTAGAACTAGAGTAATTGTAATTTGTATGCTTTTTGTGCCACTTAAAGTGCATCTAAAAATTTTTAAGCAAGTCTAATGACATATTTAGGTGTTGGCTCTAAAAAGGAATCAAAAAGAAAATCATTATCATTGGTTTTAAAAGTTAATGAGTTGAATTATATGGTAAGAAATTTAGTAGATTTTTTTTTTAACATCATAGTCAAATATTAGGATGTTAAAATTTCTCGTTATTGTAATGAGTAAGTTATATTATTAATTTTTCTATGTTAACTTGCAATTTTCTGTTGAATGATTATTTTTTTGCATTGCAATGTTAAAAATGGCATAATTCTTATGAACTTATTAATTTTCTTATCAAAACGTGATTTTGTTTCTATTTGAGGGCAGATTTTTCTTATCCTTATACAGTTTACACTCTTTAGTATGGCCCTTCGCTTCTGCTCTTCATTTCACTTAGCCACCCTTCTACAGGGCCTGTGCTAAGGCCAGTAATTTAGTGATATTTTCGCACCAAAAAAATTTCACTGACTAAAATTAGAATAGTTGCAAAAGATCATGTACCTTCGATAATAATTTTGAAGTCAATGGAGGTAACCTCTAAGAACAACTAACCTCAATCCACGACCATTTTACTGTGGAATGGAGAGTGGTCTCTTGAGAGATTTCATGGCATTTATGTTTTTTATACGTTGATAAGAAAATTAAATAATACAAAAATTTTCTCTATAAATTTGATAAATGTTACTTTTGTGCAACTTGGTCTTTTATTTTCTTCTTCTAGCAATTAGTTGCATGAAAGATTTTTCTGTGAATTCGGCTACATAGCTTGGATAGAACCAGTGTTCTCTCCGCTTTGAGTCATATACTTTAATCATTCAGCCATCAATACTCTTTCTACTTGTTATTTTTTAATCTTCATTTTAAATGAGCTAAAACTTTGAAGGGTCTCATCCTATATTTTCGACCATGCTTTTTAACTGAAGCTTGATTTTGTTTCAACAGGAATTTTGCAGGTGTGTACATCCCTTGTTTGTTAGATTAATCTTGAATTAAAAATATTTAATGATATATCTTATTTAACTAAAGTAAATGAAAGCATACATAATTAATTTAAAACTTCCTCTTCAAATGCCCATAAATTGGACTTCTGATAACTTTATTAACAACCATTTTGTCTTTGCACGATTTTAACAGCATAAAGCAAAAACATGCACATTTCTTTGACAAAAACGTTTGTGTACTTAATTTATGTAAGTTGCAATAATGCTTGTAGTTCTAATACTTGTTTTATGTTGTAGGATTTTTGTGTCCTGTTCACACACCTGATGGAACACCTTGTGGCTTATTGAATCATATGGCTGCTCAATGTCAGGTGGGTAATTATTTTTAGTCAAAAAGAATTTTTTTTCTTCTGAAAATTTAATCCTTAATTGTGCAATTTTGTATGATATTTTTCTCTTCTTCATTGTTTCCCTGATAACAATATTGATTAACAGCAAAACAAGTTTATTTTATTGTGGAAAGCAACCAATTTGAATGCCAGAACTTACATTCTGATAGTTGAAACAACTGCTTTTAAAAATAATTGTGATTATTTTATAAATAATGTACGCTATTTTAATGTTCTTAATTAATAAATTTTTTGCAATATTTAAGCCTGTCAATCTGTTTCAGTACATTAATTTTTATTTGAATTTTTTAAGGTAATCAGAAACCTCTTTATTTATTTAGTACAAAATAGAAATAAAAAACAGTTAAAAATAAATAATTAAATTAATAAATTTTGTTTTGAACAAATTTTTGTTATTAAAATGTGACTTTTAAATAGAATAAAATTTGTGACTTTTGAGTTTGAACTGCTTAATTGTCTAAAATTGTCAATTTACAAAATTGTTTTAGACTCCTTTAAGAATAAATTTTTTTATTGCTAGACATTTTTTTAATCTTTTTATTAATATTTAAATTTATTTAGGTTGTGAATGTGCAGCCTCCTACCAATCACTTGGTTAATATTTTCTGCAAATTCGGGATGATACCGATTGATGATCCTTTTTCATCTTTCCAAGATGTGTTGACAGTCTTGTTGGACGGGAAAGTTGTTGGGTGGATGTTGGAGAAAAAAGCAGCTAGTTTTGTCTACAAATTGAGGCACCTCAAATCAAAATCTCTTCAAAATGTAAGATTGTAATATTGTACTTATTTTAGAGCGAAAAGAACTTAACAATTTATTGGTTTTAACCAAATAAAGAAACTTGGTTAAACCCTTTGCCCTACAACATTATGTTTTCCTAATGTAATATGATTCCTTTTAGTAGAAGTAAAAGCCAGAAGGCCCTAATTTAGTAGTATTGTGAAACCGTCATTTTTCAATTACTATTTTTTTAATTTTTGCTTATATAAAATCTGTATGAATTATTGCCTTAAATATTTCTCTATAAAATTATATTCATTCAAACGATTGAAAAATGAGATGTTTATATAAAATTTAATTAACAGTGCTATAAATTGTATACCATACAATGATATTAAGGCTCTTTATCGAGGGCTCCATCAAAATATGAAATTATGCTTTTTTGCAAATAGTGTGCTATTTTTATGACTGCTGTTAATTTTTGACTGTTACTCATGACTGTTTGGTTCAAGTTTAGCCTATGTGAAGCCAACGCTTTTTGCGCTTATTTTGAAAATGGAGAAAAGCCAAATTTTTTTGTAAATGAAAAGCACCTGTGGTCTAATTTTTTAATATTTAAAAACTTACTCTATTGCTGCATTAGGCTCTTGCAAATTTGCAAAAACTGAGAATAAGGCAGTGATGTTGATAATTTTCATCTAGGCTGAAAAATGCCTCAAAATTGGCAATTTTTAAAAAAGTTCAATAACTTTTATAATATTTAAGTTATTTTTCTGTGCTAAATCCCAGATAATTTCTAGCAGCAAGATTATGTATATAGTCACATTGCTTCAAGTGTAAGGCTCTTAAACTATGTGTTTCTTTCCATAGCAACAGAGTTTCAAAAAACAGCATTAATTGAATAATGCTGAATTACAATTTTTACATATTGTAGACAACCAATGGAAAAATCACTGTTTCACATGTATTAAAATAAAATTTAGTTTTTGAGTGTTTATTTGCTTGTTAAGTGGAGTTGTAAAGTAATATTATAAATTGTACTTACCTATTATAAGTTGTATGTAATGCAGTTATTCTTTTTTTGTATTTTTTATTTAAGAAGAATATCTTTGAATTTATTGAAAAACATTTATTAATAGGTTAATGAAATGGTTGAATTAGTTTCAATTAAGAGTTTTAATTATTTGACATTTGGTTTTTTTTTCTTAAAAAAAAACAGGTTTAAATAAATAAAGAAAAAACCCTTTTTTTTTCCTACCTTGGTTTTAACATAATTGCTTTAGAAGATTGATCTAAATATGTATTGAAGATTAACTGTCTCAAGAAAAAAAAATTTACTTTTGAATTGTGATTCTTTCTAATATACGTTTATCAAAATTCAAAATATATGCTAATTAAAATTATTTGAGTAAATCATGTGTTTAATAAGCTTTTGTAGTGTCACTTTTTATAACTTGCTTTTTAAAAAAGAAATTAATTGAAATAAATCTGTGGAAGAAACTGTACTCCCCTTGTTTTGGTGTTTAATAACTGAATAGGAATGAATAAATTTGATAAATACTAGAAGTAATAACTAAGTTGGTTATCTATTTGTATTTAGAAAATATTTCAGTAAGAGCACTTGTAAGAATAATTTTTTTTTCTTTGGATCTTAATAATTTTATGAGTTTAACAACATGAGAGCATTTAAGCATAAATTTTAAAATATTATTGCACTTATTGTTCAAATGTTCTTGCGTTGCTAAATTATTCATCTAAAATTATTTCAGACTGTAATTTTTATTCATTCATTTATTATTTTTTTGCAATTTTCCACTTGAGTTCACTTTATCTAATATTAGTACCCATAACATACTTGAAAAAACAGCCACTTATGCAGATGGTCAACATGATTTAAATAAGCGTGATTTAATAATAAATTATTTAAATAAATGGAAGAAGAATTGACACTGTTCCAATGGGTGTATATTTGATAGTGGATAATTATTGTATCATTATTAATATCCTTAATTTTTTTCCTTTTTTTTTCAAAAAAAAAAATCCCTTAATATTTGCTTTGATAAAACAGGGTGCGTAGCGTTTTTTAAAGGTGCTTATTTTCGTTTTTTAAAAGCCCTTAAAGGTGCTTTTTTCCGTGGGTGTTTTTATAAAGTGCTTAATTTTCCCTTTTCCGAAATGTGATACTTTTTATACCATGTTGATTTTTGCCACAAATTATGCAAAAAGACATTTTCCTATTCTACATTCTCACAATTAATTCCACCCCAATCTATTTCGGCGTACCGCTGGTCTGTAGTGTATGAAAACGCCATTTGTTTTACATGTTTGATGTATACCGAGCTGCATTAGGTGGTAAGGATTTTTGACTCTCATGTGCTACCCTGCTGCATTTTGCAAGAGATTCTCAATTTCAGACTTCATTTTCCGCCCTCTGTAATAGAATCGAAAAATCACTCCAATTTTCGCTGATTACGGGGACCAACTAAAAATTTTAAATTTTTTTTTCTATTAGTGATAGAAAATTTCATTTTACTTGTTAATTTCATCGTTTGACGCACCATCGTCTTCGTCACTTTAAATGAAGCCGGATAAAACCATCAATTGTCAAAAACTTGCAAACCCTGTCTAATTATATTTTTCAAAGTGCTTAAAAATATTTTTTGAGTGCTTAAAGCACTCAATAGGTGCTTATTTCTTGTTGAAAAATTTGGCTACACACCCTGTAAAAGAGTGTGAATTCAATAATAGATTTTTTACCCTACTGATTAGAAAAGTTTCCTTTCTATTAAAAAAACAGGTTCCAAGCACCATGGAAATATGTCTTATTCATAGAACAGAGCATGCTTCACAATACCCTGGTATATTTATCTTCACAACTCCAGCAAGAATGATGAGACCTGTAAAAAATATCTCATCTGACACTATAGAGCTTATAGGTACCATGGAGCAAGTGTACCTGCACATTGCATTAGATGAAGAAAAAGTAGTGTCTGGAGTGAGTATAATTCTTAATCGATTATCTATCTCTATGTATCTTAAGCGGTACAATAAGCTTGGGTATTTCTTTAATGCTAACACTATAGTTATTATTCATTTTGTTTGGTTGTCTTAAGTAATATTTTAAGCAGTGTTAAATAGTTAATTATATGCTAAGTATTCATTTAGAATAATTTTATAGAAGTAAAAGATTAGTTACAAATTAATTATTTAGATTTATTTTCGATAATTTCTGAAATGGCTGTATAAATTTTAAATGTAAAGCTAGCTGTAACGCTGTATACTTTCATATTGATTATTGATAATGGAGCTTGCTTTTTTCAAGCAAGAGAACTCAAGTTAATACTTGAGATGTACGTGAGCATGTAATGGAACATTGGAATGAGCTTTCTATCGTATCTCAGGAGAGAGATGGAAATAATTTTAATACTTCTGCTGCCTATTATGTTGAACTGTCCCGAACTCATACTTACAGTGATTCATGAGATTTAATGGCTGTTAGACAGTTCTAGATTTTATTGCTAAAATCCAATACAAAAAGAACTTTGACAATATCACGGACATTTCTTGGTTACAATTAAAGTTTATATGTTGTACAAGATCATTTTAAAAGGTGACCAAGTTGGTTGCCTAACGCAATTACTTCATTATACTGCTATTATTGTACATTATATTCCTATTATAATGTTTTTGCTATGTTGACAAGGCATGAGTTACACTGGAATGACTGGTATTTTATGTTTTGTCAGTTTTAAAAAGTTTATAAGGTAACCATATGAGGTCATAGTCTTCTATATGTCATTCTTAGCCTCTTACCCACTGACCCTTCAAAACGTAAAAAGTCGTATTTTAACCTGCAGTTTTCTCTGTTTAATAAAACTGGTTTTTCCATGTAATCAGATAGGGAATCGGAGTATATGGGAAAAACATTCTCCCAATTTTGCCCATTTACTAAACTGCCAAGCTTGCAAACTGTTAAGCTTGGGAACATTATAAAAAAAAATTTTATATATATATATTGAATTTCTGTAGTAACAGTTTTGTGGAGTAAATATCAAATTTCTATTCTTTTAAAATATATTTAGGTAACATTTCATCAGGAAATTTCTTCGCTTGGTGTACTGAGTATGTTGGCCAATCAGATTCCTTACTCTGATTTCAATCAGAGTCCCAGAAACATGTATGAATGTCAGGTAAACTTTTTTCCTGTACTGTTTTTTTTCTCTTTACGCACACCTTTGCTGGATTGAATATTTTGTCTGTAATGCTTAATTCCTTTTGTCTTGCAGATGGGTAAACAAACAATGGGAACTCCTTGTCATGCTCTTAAATATAGATCTGATAATAAGTTGTATCACATTCAAACTCCTCAGTCACCTGTTGTAAGACCTAAAATGCACGACTACTACCATTTGGATGATTATCCATTGGGTACCAATGCTATTGTTGCTGTTATATCTTATACAGTAAGTGAACTGCAATGTTTTGAACTGATACCATTTGAATTCACTAGACATGCCACTATTTCATGAATCTGCTGATTTCTTTCTCTTTTTTCACTTTATTTCCTTCATAAGATCTAATTAATAATCCATTGAAAAATTTGATACAATGATAATTTGTTGTTTCAGAATTTCGATGGTCTTTGAGTGATATTGTAACAAAAAAAACTTGATTAAATAAACTTTGCAATTATAAAATTTAATTAGAAAGATTAGGTGCTGTGTTATTTATGTTATTATTTACTATTTTTAGAAGATGAAATCAAATCTTGTATATTAACATTAATCAATCCAGAATTTAGAATTTATCTCTTTTGTAAAGTTAAATCAGTACTAAAAAAATTTAATTGTTAAAAAATATTGATTAAATTAAAATTTTATGAACAGAATATTCCGTTTTCTAATTCTTCCATGAAGAATTATTTCAAATGAGGATTCAAAAAGGAATGATGTTTTGAAACAACTAGCAGAAGAGTTGTCTGACTTAAAGGAAAGCTACTGGATATAGTTATAAAAATGCTTTTTAGTTTAATTTATGTTTCTTTTAATATAATAATACTTATAAATTATAACCTTTATTATATTTTAATTTAGAAATCATGTTTCTGAAGTTTTAAATTTATGTGACCTATTCAGATTATTATTACTATTATTTTCCAAAACTGCTGTGGCATGTCTCATTCATTATTATATGCATTATTTTTATCATGTTGTGATAAAAGTTGATATACAGAAAGTTCATAAGATGAAAGTATTACTCGTTACTAATTTAAAGTGTTGAATATCATAAAGCTATTGTGTAGTATTAAAAAAAAAGACCCCAAAAGAGATTGCTAAATATCTCTACTAAATATTCAACCCCTGGGGGGAAAAACTTTTTTATTGTTTACTTCATTCTAAGAGCAATAGTTTCCTTTCACCACAATAAAGATAATAGTGTTTCCAACAAGTAATTTATATTTAATGTGCGAAAAACTAAATTTGTTAAAAACAAAGCATTGAAAGACAGCTCAATTGTAGCTTACTTGTCACAATTTAATTTTGTATTGTCACTTGTATCATCACACTTGTGATCTCCAAGTACCTGTGTCCAGGGTGCGTACAGACTCCTTACACTCCTTAGAAACTCCTTGGAAATAAAAAAGTCTCCTAGGAGTACTTGGAACTACTTAGATTTCCAAATTAGTCCTTAGAAACTCCTTAGATTATTGCTTTGCATAGATGAACTTACCTAAGTTCGCTGATGAATTTGCTGTCCAAGCTGGGAAACTAAATGATATGCAGTGATGCAAGTGCTGCTCCAATTGTGGAAACCTGCTCCTATATGCTCCAAATTGAAGTAGTTGGCTTAAATTGTTCCAAAAAGGATATTTTTCCCTGGGTATCGTGATGTCACAATTTTGCGGCAACCAAGCTACTGCCATGTGGGTTGCTCTGGATTCAGTGGGAATGATTCTTGCACTTTCATGTGCAACTCTGCTTTATTTTGCAAGATATTCTCAATTTCAGGCTTCATTTTCCACTCTCTGAAATGGAACCGAAACTTCTCTCGAATTTTCGGGGACCAACTAAACATTGCCAAATTTTGAGAAATTTTTATTTCTCTTGTTAATTTTATAGTTGTTGAAGTGCTATCAACTTCGTCAATGGCAAGCTAATGGTCTTCTTGCGCTATTCTATTTATAGATTAGTACCATGACCTTTGAATTAATTTGAGGGACCATTCACTAAGTACATATTTTCATGTTGATCCTCAGAGCAGTCAGGAATCACAAAGCTTCATAACCTCAAAATTTCCATCTCCCCTTTATTCATCTAATTTAATAAAGGTAAGAATTAATTGAGTTTCTAAAACGTAATTTTTTTATCTGAGGGACCATCCACTAATTGCTTATTGTATTTAAACATTGATTTTATTTAATTGATTTTTTTTTAAATAATTTTCTGTTTTTTACTTATTGCGTTTTATTATTGTATTATTACTTTCAAAATTTTCGGTGCTCTTAATTTGTTCAAGGAAAAAACTTAATAATATTTAGAGGCAAGCATGAAGAGAGGGGCTTTCAATATTTTAAATGCAGTAAAAAATCTTATGTTTTTTCGATTTGTCATTCAGAAATACTTTAATTCATCTCTTAATGATTTGAAAAAGATCTTTGATTTAAAACAATTGATATAAAAAATTTTAATTATCACAGATTTGTGAAAGATTATGAGTATAGGGACAATATAATAATTTACTTCTGACAAATTTTTTCAGCTTCAATACTCATTGAATTTGCATTTATAAATTATTTAATTTTTTTTAATCATTTCATTAATGAAATACTGTACTAGGTAACCAATTTTAATAAAAATTTATTAGGGGCCATTCACTAATTTACATTTGTAATAAAAATTTATTAAAGTTTTCTTAATTTGCTTAATTCTTTACATATTTTTATAAATTCAGTATGATCAATATTAATCTTGTTAATGTTTTGTTGAATATGCTATTACCAATAACATTTATTAAAATTTTTATAAAAAAATACACTTGATAACCTTAAATAATAGTTAAATTAATTAGAGTATAGAATTACCTTTTACAGAATTAAATAAAGAATTATTAATTTAGAAAACAGTATGAGCCACGCAATATCGAATTTATTTAAATTGCTTTTGCCAAAAGCTCTTCTTTTTTTAAAAAAAGAAATATTTTGGCTATATTAAATTAACTTTTAGGTCGTTTCCAAACTGAGACACGATTGATTCACTTTCTGTATGATGAAATGGTGTCTCTAGTTAAGGCGTTGTTAGGGCGTTTTTTAAAGAGTTCTGCTTTTCTTAGTTTGTCAGGAAAGGACTTAAAATCATTGAATGTAGAAAACGCAGATATTTGGCAAAATTCAAATTTAATAGATGTTGAACTAGATACCACAAATGTGATGACATCCTTATCTTCTTCAGAAAAAAAATTCTATGTATATAGGGGCCAGATCTATGGCATTTGCCAAAAAGTTATTAAAAGCATTGCCTCTTGAAAATAGGTTACTGTTCCATCTTAAAGTGTTGCATCCTGTAATGAGAATGGAAGACACTTGCCATGTTTAGCCACTTGCACCACTGGATATGACTTAGCTGTCAAAATCTAGCAGTTTAAGAAAACTTTTAAAAGAATAAAAATTGAATTGCAGAGTTAGAAGAAGAAAAATAACAGCAAATAATTTTACATGTAACAAGCAAACTTAATTAATAATTTGCTGTGATTTTTTTTTTTTGGTATAAAATGCCTTAGATTTTTCTTATGTATTCAAATTTAAAAATATAAGATTGGTAGGTTTTTATGTCAATCCTTAACGTCTGTACTTTAACAAGATTTATTAAAATATTTGAAAATGTATTATGTGTCTAAGTGATAACTTAATTTATTTTTCTTGACGAAGTTTGACAAAGTCAAAATTTATTTCAAAGGGGATAGAAATTAAAATTAAAATATGCATTTTTGCAAGTTCCTTATAATAACTGCTTTTTAATTTTTTTTTAAAAAAAACTATCTTTTACACAGAGTTCTTAAATTTTTGATAAGTTCTTAAAATTTTGGACTCCTTGGATTTCTTCTTCTGATCTCTGTATGAACCCTGACTGTATGATAATGAGACCGTTCTTCAGTGCAGTATGCATAAACTTTTTTTTAAATTTTGATAAATTTACCGAAAATATTTTTCTTTAAAAAATAGTATCTTTAAAGAAATTCCTTTTGGTTCTTATCAGTTTTCAAATGATAAGTACTTTTATTTTTTAGAATTGTGACATTTCTGTTTTTCTAATGATTGCTTCTTTCTTTCCAGCGGCATTGATCCATCAATCCACACTAGTGAAGAAAAAAGACATAAGAAAATTTTTAGATGGTATTTATGTGTCAGAAAAAACTACTGTTGTTCAAGCTGAAAATTAAATAAAATAGTTTGAAAAACTTAAGCCTATTCTCATAATAAATTGAGCTATTTACTTTAAAAAATAATTTTAAGATCTTTCCAGCTCTTATATTACAACATACTTATCTCAGAGGTAGAACTCCTCCTATATTTCGTATAGGTCCTTTATCTTATAAAAAGGTGAAAGAGCATCCTTCTTATAATAATTTACTATTTTTAGAGGATGGAATAATATTTGTATGTGGAAATAATTTGTTTAAAAAATTTAATTGTTCTCTTTATTCAGTTCTTCAAATAATTTTTATCCCATTAACAGCTCATTATGCTTAGAATTTTATTTCATATACATAGCTGCCAACATTTACTGCATTTTCCAATAGACTGATTTTGCCAGTTTCTCCTGGTATTTGTATAGTTTATAAAATTCCCTAAAACTGAGTAAGTTATCTAAAATATTCCCTATNCGATTTGTACTCATGTTTTAAAAATCCTTTATTGCAAATTTAATTGTGTGATTTTTAAAAATCAAATGTAGTGTTTCATATTTGGGCATATCATTGCATCTTGATTCATATTATGAACTGCCTTTTATAATTCAACTACTTGGAGTTATAGACATTTTGAATTCAAGTACAAAATTCAGTTCTATTTGTCAAAATGTAAATGCTTGTATTTGGATAGTTTTTGGTTGCTAATTGTCAATGAAAAGCTCATTAAATAATTTAACAAATGAGGAGTAGAAAACGTTCATAGGTTTTTTTTTCTACGCAATTCAGTTTACTTCTATTTAAAAAAATTCTTATTTATGTATGTGTTATCCTGCAGACAACTAATGATCTCCAAATCTTTATTTGTCTATATCATTAAGCAAGAAATAAGATGTAAGTATCATATTTTAACTTGGCATTGTCAAAAAATATAAGTTATTTAAGTATTTTATCAAATTACTTCATGTACTTATTTTGAAACATGAAGTTCAGTGATTACTAAAACTGAATGTTTTTCATTAATTAAGAAATTCTCACTAAAATATTATAAATTTTTCTTAAAAAAAAATAAAACCTGAACCTACCCCTGAGAGGAAAACTCTCAGTTGGCATAAGGGCCAGTGTAAAGATGACCACAGTATTTTCAGTTTGACCATGCTACATTTACTACCTATTTTAATACATACAAAACAATAACAAAAACTTTTTTTTGTGCTTGTATATTCCAGTGGAGGAATAACATTTAAAAATATATATATTTCAATATGTTTAAATAAAAGCTAAACTTGAATTTTCTGCCCTATTTCTCTTTAATTGATATGAAACTTCTAGCCTTGAGAACTGATATTGTTGAATGCTGTTATCTCTTGTGGGTAACAAAATTGCCCTTATTATTTATTGATAAATATAAAATCTTGTATACAGTATATTGTTAATATATAATTACAGTTAAAAGTTTGGTATGTACATAAAAGTCAGTTAACTTTCTTAATCTATAATTTTTAGGGCTTTGATATGGAAGACGCTATTGTATTAAACAAGCATTCCGTAGAGCGTGGTTTCAAACATGGCAGCATTTATAAAACAGAAATTATTAATTTGAGGACCATTTCTGGTGACCGTGGTCAGCAAGGCACATTGGTTTTCTGTCGTAAAAATGACCCTAAGTTTCTCAAATTTGTTGATGAAGATGGACTGCCTCATGTTGGTACAAGATTAACTTATGGAGATCCTGTGTGCTGGTAAAAATTGTTGCTTATTTCATACTAATAATTTTCCTCTGAACTATTTAGTTTATTTTAATTTTTTAACATATTTCAATTTTGTTTTTGAATTTGTTTTTAAAACCTTTCTGTGAAATTTACGTGTTTAAATAGTAATAAATAGTCGTGTAATTATCTAATTTTTTTTTTTACTTATTTTGTTCTTATTATTTTTTAGCATTAGAAATTATTGCCAAAAAGGTTTCTGAAAATTTTAAAATAAACGTCTAAATTAATTTAAACTTCATTAAATAAGTGCCTAAATTTCACTTTTTGCACTTAAGACCTGAAAATGTAAATTTTCAGTTGATAGCCAGTGACCGATAGACTCTAGTGACTTAGTAGCCACTGGTCAAACCTAATCGAGTCTGTGACTAATATCAATAGATCCTTTTTCTTTAATAGCCTCTTTTTCGTTAAACCTAATGAGTCTGTGACTAATATCGATATGTCCTTTTCATTTAATAGCCACTCTATGCTTGAATTAAATTTTATGTTTTTAAAAAAAATTGGTATTAGAAATAATCTGCGTCCACAAAATGTTAATTCTGCCATAAGAGTAATATGAAAATTGAAAAAATTTTAGTTGAACATCCTGATTTTAAAGAACAAAAAAAATATTTGAGGAGTCAAAATGCATTAAATGTATACATTACAATTTTCAAATAAGTGAATTGTTAAACAAAAACTCTTCTTCCCCCTTAATCTTTCCACCACAAATTGATAGATTTTGAAGAATCAAAATTTTCGGATGGAGAAATTTTTTGAGACATTGGAAAGTTATTAATAAAAATTCTGTTATCCAGAGTCTCTGTCTGTATTGATGTACTTTAATCATTGACCGATTTTTTTAAAAAAATTGCCAATTGTTTATTTAAGTCGCCACTTTAAGAAAAAGAAGAAAAAAACTCGCTATGTGGTTATTTTCATGTCTATTTCTCTTATACTTTAGTAATATAAATATTTATTCTCTGTTGTGTTGCCAAAATAATTTTTTAAGTATATTTTTAGCTATAAAGACAATACAACTGGCGAATTTTCATTCGTTAAATATAAATCAACGGAAGAAGCTTATGTTCATGATGTGAAAATTTTAGGCAATGACACTGGAACTGATACTAACCAACAAATAGCTATCAAATATAGAATACCTGTGAGTTTTTAATGTTACTGCTTAATTTTGGCAATTCTTATTATGTAATCTGTAGAACTTTTTAATTTTTATATAGGTCTAAATATTTTGCCTTATTTTTTACTAAATATTGCATTCTGTTGCTTTACTTTTTTTTCTTTTGAAAAAATCATTTCATTTTCTTTAAATGAACCAACCGTTTGTTTATTTAATGAAAATTATATTTTGAAGATATGATTATTTTAATGTACACTATCTTACATTTATTTAAAAAAAAAAAAAATTCCTTACTTTTGTGAGGAAGTTTAATAAACTATCATAAGCTGTGTAACACTCTAATGAAGTATTATTTTTTATGTTAATTTCAATATTTTTTGTACAATTTTTTTTTTTTTTTTTACTGACTCATCTTTTTTCAGCCAAATATATTGGTGAATTATTATTTGGGGTATGCCACCAAATTATAAATTAAAATCTTATTTTATATTTCCAGATTCAAAACTAACAAAATTTTTATTTTAAAATTACAAACTCTTATACATCTTGACCTATTATTTGCTTTCTTTATTTTATTGCTTACTTTTTTCCTTCAATGTGTTATACTTTTGATTCTGTTTTAAAAGGATTAATGAACTAATAGTGTTATATAGAAGCTTTGAAAAAAAAATTTCTGCAAAAAAAGCAATATTNATGCCACCAAATTATAAATTAAAATCTTATTTTATATTTCCAGATTCAAAACTAACAAAATTTTTATTTTAAAATTACAAACTCTTATACATCTTGACCTATTATTTACTTTCTTTACTTTATTGCTTACTTTTTTCCTTCAATGTATTATACTTTTGCTCCTGTTTTAAAAAAATTAATAAACTAATAGTGTTATATAGAAGCTTTGTCTACAGAATGCCATTGTATATTTTTATGAATTTCTTAAAATTTTTTTCTGCAATAATTTATGTGTATATATATACATGTTGCAATCAAAAAATATCTTGCCATAATACATATTATGGCAAGATATTTTTTGATTCTGTTTTTACAATAGTTATGTGCTTTCAGCGAAACCCAATTATTGGTGATAAATTTGCCAGCAGACATGGTCAAAAAGGAATCTGCAGCTTGTTACTACCACCAGAGAATATGCCTTTCACGGAAGGAGGGATGATTCCTGATATTATATTTAATCCACACGGTTTTCCTTCTCGTATGACAATCGGTATGGAATACTTATCTTATAAAATCATAATTATGTGGTTTGTTTTTGTATTTGTTAACAAATTGAATATTGTAGAGTTTTAAATATTTTTTTAAAAATAGGTTCTTAGTTTAACTGTTTCTTAGCCAAATTTCAACGAAGAAGAAACGCCACTTAACACATTCGCTGCCACCGACGCAATAGCGCCTCAGAGCGGCACCTCTTGGTATGCCTAAAACGTGCTAGCGCGTCGATCGACTATGATAAGTTATATGCTCTGTGTTTAGTGTGGCTTTGGGAGTTGAACAGAGAGATTGTTTCAGCACGTTAGTGAAGCATTATTTTTTCATTTTTTGTGGTTGGTTTTCAAAAGTTTGGTTTGAATTTTTTTATGTGCGTGATTGCCAATATCTGTATATTGTGCTTATTATTTGTAAATATTTTCAGTATTGTCTCATAAATGGTACTGCATATACTTGAATGGTATTCCGATTTATTCCTTTTAAGCTGCTATTTTATGCAATATGCCAGTAATTTCTGAGAATATTGATCAGACGCGCTGGAGTTGAGTGGCACTCACGAAGGCAGGTTGAGTCTGTGTGCCACTGACACTCCAGAGCGTCGGGAAAAAAGGCTCTCTAAATAGGAAAATAATATATTTCTTCGTTTTTCTGGTTTTTCTAGTAAAATATAAGGAGCATTTAATCCATTAAAACTGTTTTGTAATCCAGCCTCTGAGGATGGAAATATCTTTTTTAGTGGCAGCGAATGTGTTAAGCTTATGTTAAATCTGTAGATCTTGCTGTTTTTATTACTAATTTTTAGAAATTTATGCAGGGATTGGGAGTGTCTTAAAATTTCCACAGTGGTTGTAAACTTTAGAACATAAATATGTTCTCATTTATCATTTTATCAAATTTATCATCAAATGTTCCTGGTTACCATAATAATTTGACATCTTATTACATTTATAAAAATTTGGTGATTAGGAAATGAAAGTTATTTAAAATGATGTGGCTGCTTAATTAAAAAAATTTCCTCTTGCTTTTATGAATAGTTTGCTGATATTTAAATATTTTGGGAATCTTTTGAGAGCTCTGTGCATATTCTGTACATATTTTAATAAATACATATATTTATAATTAATTTGTTAACTACATTTTGTACATTAAATATTGAAATCAGAATGAAAAGTTCATTCATGGCGATAGAAATTTTCTCCTTAAGAAATCGTATTGATTTCTTTTTTCCTTGTGTGAATATGAATTGTGCAACTCTTTCTATTAAAGATCCAAATTCTTGTCTTTAATCAAAATTTAAATACATTAAATTAATTGGTTTTTGTTCAAGTATTCTATTTAGCTGATTTTTTTTCCAACTATTAATCTCTACAAATATAGAGTTCAACTGAATGTCTAATGCGTGTGAATGTAATTGCTTCCTGACTTATGTTCAATGTATTTAAAAATGTAATGAAAGAACGCTAAAATGAGATTTACAGTAGAAAATATTTATAATACAAATTTTGAAGCATAGAATATAGAATTTGTGTTGTATGGATCATCTCATGTATCATTAAACTTCTATATTAAGAATTGCTATGTTTATCAGGAACAGGTCCTTATTATTTTCAAATAATAATAATAAAATTTAACTTTCTATAAGCATTAAAACTCAAATTTATGAATTGTTGCTTACTTTAGACATTGTAAAGTCAATGTGGTTTATAGAGAATTGTGTTACTTAAATCTAACCGTAAAGTAGCATTACTTTTCAGTAAAGAGATTACTTTTTCAAGTTAATACTATTTATTATCATTAATCTCTTAGTATAGATCATTTCATGTATCATTAAACTTCTTTATTAAGCATTGCTATGTTTATCTGGAACAGGTCATTACTATTTTCAAAATAATAATAAAATTAACTTACCATGAAATAAAACTCAATGCATTAAAACTTAAATTTTTTACCATGCATTAAAGCTCAAATTTATCAATTTTTGGTTTGCTTTAGAGATTGTAAGTCGATACGGTTTGGAGAGAATTGTGTTGTTTAAATCTCTTTACTGTAAAATAGTAGTACTTTACAGTTAAGAGATTACTTTACTTTTTCGAAGAAATATTATTTATTATCATTAATCTTTTTGACAAATAGAGAATTTGTGTTACATAGATAATTTCATGTTTCATTAAACTTCAATATTAAGCATTAAAATTTAAATTTATCGATTTTTGTTTGCTTTAGAGATTGTAAAGTCAATACGGTTTGCAGAGAATTGTGTTATTTAAATTTCTTTACTGTACGCGTAGCGTTTTTAAAAAGTGTTTTGAAAAGCGCTTAATTTTTCCTTTTCTAAATTAAGATTTTTCCTTTACCATGCTGATTTTCACAACGAATTATGCAGAAAGACACTGTTGACATTGTTCTATTCAACTTTTTCAAAATTAATTCAACCCCAATCTATTTCGGCGCATCGTCAGACCGTAGCTTATGAAAACGCCGTTCGATTTAAATGATTCAAAAATTTTGACAATTGTCAAAAACGATGCCAGAAGACTTTTTTTTTGTGACATGACTGTTGAAACCAGATAAAACCGTCAATTGTCAAAAACTTTCCAACCTTGCCTAATTATGATATTTTTTTAAAGTGCTTAAAAATATTATTCGATTGCTTAAAAGGTGCTTATTTTTTGTTGAATAATTGGGCTACGCACCTTGGTAAAGTAGTAGTACTTTACAGTAAAGATATTACTTTACTTTTTCAAAGAAATGTTTTTTATTATCATTAATGTTTATCCTGTCTTCTTTTTAATGTTGCTCTAAAGAAAGTTATAAGAGATGCTGAAATCAATATCAGAGGCAACATATTTTCAAAATCTATTCAAATATTGGCGTATGCGGATGATTTAGACATCATTGCACGAACTGTTCCTGCATTAAAAGAAGCTTTCCTTTCTTTGGAGCTTGCTGCTAGGGATATGGGACTAATCATCAATACCGATAAGACCAAATACATGCCTGTACTTGCTAAATTAAATTCTAGTGAATCCTATCTGGAGATTGGTTCCCACAGGTTTCAGACTGTTCAGAATTTTACTTACCTTGGTTCAATTGTTACTGCCGACAATAACATAGACAATGAGATTCGGAGTCGTCTAATTTGTTCAAATAA